ATAAGAAGACACTCAGAAAACTAAAGAGAGAAAGCATCTATTTCTGTGTGCGGCTAGTCCTCAGTGTTATACTTTGCAGCAACTCACGTTAAAAACCAAATCGCGGGTCCACCCTTCTCCTCCCCTGCCAGACCAGCAGCAAAAGGGCAGGCGGGCTCAGTCGGTGACGACCCAAACCCCACCCGCCTTCTAGGGCAGGGGGGTCAAAGTCTCTTGTCACTAGCAGGAGCAGGCCACGCCTTGTGGGTCCAGACCACCAATGAGACCCTCCCCTCTTCTGGGCAGGGTGCCACCCCCCCCTTCCAGCTGCTTTGCGAACGAGTGAGGTGCCGGAGAGTGCCACCCACCAGCCTTTTAAATTTGTTTATTCAGTTGATAAAGCCTCCCATCTCAATCAATGATTCCAAAACGTTTTTTTAAATCTTTTAAACCCAATCGTGAAAACATTCAAAATAGATGGACACAAGATACTCGGCCGGTTAGCCCTAAAGCCGAGTCACGGGGCCCTCGACCCCTCCTGAGCCACAGGCCCCGGGACACGGCCAGCTTCTGAGAGCCTTACAGAAGGCCAGCGGGGCTGGGGCCAAGCCTGATCTCCCCGGGAGGATATTCCACAGAGCAGGGATCCCAGCAGCCTCCTCCATTCCCTCAAATCTTCACACTCTTCCTGCCCACTAAATACAGGCAGTCCTTGACTTAACAACAGTTTGTTTAGTGACTGTTCAATGTTACAACGGCACTGAAAAAAGTGACTGATGGCCATTTTTCACACACAAGACCATTGCCCCATCCCTGTGGTCATGCGATCAAAATTCAAACCCTTGGCAGCTTGCATGTATTTATAAGCCACGAGTGCAGTACCGCAGGCTGCTTCTGCGGCCTGCCGGCTGCCTGCAGTTCAGCAGATCGAATCTCACCAGGCTCAAGGTTGACTCATCCTTCCGTCCTTCCGAGGTGGGTAAAAGGAGGGGCCAGATTGTTGGGGTCTGCAAGAGGCTGTGACTCTGTAAAGCGCTTAGAGAGGGCTGGAAAGCGCAGCAAAGCGATATAGAAGTCTAATCTAGTGAAGTACCAGCAATACGCTGATGACACTCAGCTATACATCTCCACCCCGGACCACCCCAATGATGTCCCGGTGCCTGGAGGCCATGTGGATCTGGATGGGGAGAAACAGACTCAGGCTCAACCCATCCAAGACCGATTGGCTGTGGTTTCCGGCGTCCCGATATAGTCAGTTGGTGCCATCACTGACTATTGGGGGCGAGTCGTTGGCCCCCACGGAGAGGGTTCGCAACTTGGGTGTCCTCCTGGACTCACGGCTGTCTTTAGAAGAGCACCTGATGGCTGTGGCCGGGAGGACTTTTTGTCAGGTCCACCCGATTCGCCAGTTGCGTTCCTTTCTGGATCGGGACTCCTTACGCACGGTCACTCATGCCCTCGTCACTTCCTGCCTGGATTACTGCAATACTCTCTACATGGGGCTCCCCTTGAGGAGCACCCGAAGGCTCCAACTGGTGCAGAGTGCAGCTGCGCGGGTGGTTATGGGAGCGACGTGGCGCTCCCATGTAACACCTCTCCTGCGCGAGCTGCACTGGCTTCCAGTGGTCTTCCAGGTGCGCTTCAAGGTTTTGGTTACCACCTTTAGAGCACTCCATGGCTTAGGACCTGGATACTTATAGGACCACCTGCTGCCACCAGTAGCCTCAGGGCTCCTCAGGGTGCCGTCAGCCAAACAGTGTCGGCTAGCGGCCCCCAGGGGGAGAGCCTTCTCTGTGGGGGCACCTGTTATCTGGAATGAGCTCCCCCCGGAGATACCGAGGATCCCGGATTTATGCACCTTCCACCGTGCCCTCAAGACCTTTTTATTCCAACAGGCTGGCCTGGCCTAACTTTCCCTTTTAAATGGCATATGAGAAATTTTAAATTTGTTTTAAATATGGGGATGTTTTTTAATTCGTCTCGGGCCAAATTGTTTAATACGTTTTAAATTTTATAATCTGTGTGTTTTATCTTTTTGGCTGTTCACCGCCCTGAGTCCTCCGGGAGTAGGGCGGTATATAAATCTAATAAAATAAAATAAAATAAAATAAATAAGTAAGGGCTATTGCTATTGCTATGGCTATCACGGTCTCAGTGTCCTGGGGGTCACATGGTCCCCTTTTGTGACCTTTTGATAAAAAAGTCAATGGAGAAGCCAGATTTACTTAACAACTGTGTTACTAACTTAACTGCAATGATTCATTTAATAACTGTGGCAATAAAATGGGGCAAAAATCATTTAACAACTGTCTCGCTTCACAATTTTGGGCTCAATTGTGGCCATACGTCAAGGCCTACTTGTACCCCAAATCCTCTCCTCCCTGAAGACAAGCATTGCTGGCCACCAAGACAGGCAGGCCGGACTTTGAGGAAGGTGAAGCTGAAATACGGGAAACGCATGGAGACCCCAAATGAGCTCCTCCCTGGCTGAAAAGAGCCGTGGCTGTCCCAGCAGCCCAGACCCCCTAAACAAACCTCCTTTTCTCTAACAGTTGAGGGGTTCTCCATGCCCCGTCCAAGTTATCTGGTTCTTCCTGTCTGGCCTCAATATCCTGACCACAAATCAGAGCTCAGGCGGCCATTCATGCTTCTAAAAGGGTTTTTTTGCTGCTCCCTGTTCCCCTCCCTCTGAAGCTGGAATCTGATAAGTGTTGAATTAAATTAAACGGTCAGTTGGTTATTTTTCCTCAGGATGTTCGGAATTACCCAGTTTCAGCATCCGTTCTTAACATTTGCAAATTGAGATCAGAAGATCTGCTGATGCCACCCAAAATGACTTCTCTCTGGCTACCTCCTGAGAACATGGAACCACCAGCAGTTTGGGGGTGCAGGGGGGTCCCTCCTGGGTCGAAAGCCAAGCTAAAGGGACGCTTGCTGAGATGCCTGCAAGTGTGTTCATCCCAAAGCAGTGTTTCTCCATGAAATTGCCAAAAAAAGGATAGCCAACAACGGATAGCCATTCCCCAATTATGTGGCTGAAACGAGAGAGCTCCGCTGCTCCACAAGCCACATTCTGTTTCATTGGGGATGACAAACTAAGTTAAGTCCTGCTTGACTGTTTTGAGAGGCCTGCTCAAGTCTGCCACCTGCTGTAGATCAGCTGCCATCACAGGTGGGAGGTTCTGTGTTGTAACCGCAGGAAAACCAAGAGTTGGGCAGCTCAGGAGTGGGCCCTCGGCTTCCCCCCTTCTTTGGCCAGGCAGAACTACTGGCTCCCAGGTCCTGCTCTCCCCCCTTTGCTCTGGGGATGAGACTGGGGGCTCCGGGTGAGTTCCAGGTCAGCCCTTCAGGGAAGAAGGGCTGCCTTGTCTTGAGCGTCCCACCAGCCAGGCCCAGCAGAGAACCAACCACGGGGAGAGGAACTCAGCCTCTGACTCTTCTCTCCCTTCCCTCGACCTCCCGCATCGTCTGAAGTGTGCAATTTGGTTATGGCCAGTCTCTCGCCCCTGCTTGCCTTTGGCGGAGGGGGGGGGGGCTTCAGGAAGCAGAGCCAGCCTTTTGGCTCCGAACCTTCTCATGGGAATGTGGGTACAGGGGAGGACAAAAAGCCTCCGGATCCTGATGCGGGCTGGGGGCTCAGGCAGACCCGGCGGCTGGGGGCTTTCCCAATCCTCACAGTCCGGACATTGACTCCTCCTTCTCCCCCCCCCCTTTTTTTCTTTTTTTTATGCTGGGCGCCAGGAAAGCCAAGCAAGGCTCCTGCGCAGCACCCTGGCCCTCGCACGCCCGCCCGCCCCCAAAGCGCAGCTCTCCCAGAAAGCCCGAAGAGAAGCCTCGGCCGCCCCATCTGACGAGGGCGCTGAGCGGGGCTCCCCTCCTCCCACTTCCACGGCTATGCTGCCGGCGGGAATGCTCGGAGCCACGGACGCCGCCGGGCTGCTAGTAGAGCCCAGCGGCCTCCCAACTGGTCCCTGCGTGCCCGCAAACAGGCAGCGGGATCCAAAGATTTGCTGGGGGGTGGGCAGGAGGGACCTGACGGACGGACGGAGGGGGCGTCCGTGTGTCCGGGCAGCCAGCCGACAGGGGCACCGGCACTTCCCGCTCTCCGCCGGCGAGGCGCTTTCGAGGGGGCGGCCACCGGCCGGCATCGGAGTTCTGCTTGCTTAGGGGTTGCCCAGGGTTTGCGGGGGGCGGCCAACGTTATTTCAAGCAACGGGTTAGAGGTTTGCTGGGGAGACAGTCCGTTGCGGAGCGCAAGCAAAAGAAGCGAACACACAGTTCCGCCCCTCTTCCCCGGGCAGCCCTACAAGCGCGGGGAGCCCACAAGGCCCCCACAAAGGGCCCGGATGCTTGGGGGCGAAACGGGGACCCTGGCGACTCTGCCGGCCTCCTGCTGCCTGAGCGGGAGGAAGGAGGCAGGCAGAGCCGGAAAGGCAACGGGCGACCTTGGGGCCCTACCGCGAAACGTGGCAAGAGCCAAGAGAAAGCGAAAGGGCGCGCGGGGGCTGACGCGCCCTAGACATCTGCCGTGGGGAGATTTGCTCGGGCATCGAGGGGGCCTTGAGAGCGCCGCGGTCTTGGCTGGCGTGGAAAGAATCAAACATCCGCGGGACGATGAGAAGAAGAAGAACGGGTCCTACAGCAACATTTTTCCCTGCTTCAAAATCGGGCGGAAGGGGGTTCACTCCTAGGTGACTCGAGACCCCTCGGGGTTTCCAGGCAAGGAACAGCCTCCGGTGGGAAACGAGCGCCCGAGCTCAGGGCAGAGAGGATTCGCACTTTGTCCATGCTCAGAGGGCTGGCTATGGTTCGCCCCGCCTGGGGCTCGAGGGCCGGTCTGGCCGGGTCGCCAGCGGTGCTCTAGCCGGACCGAACTGAGCCCGGCAGGCAGCCCTCCTCCCTCCATTGCCGGCCCGGGAGGTGGACCGCGGGGCGGGGCGGGGCTGGGCGCGGGCGTGGAAACCCTCCCGGGCGCTCCCGCCCAGCGCCACGCCTGTCGGAGCTCGTCTCCCGCCGCCGCCGCCGCCGCCTGGGCTGCCCGGAGCCGTCGAGGTGGCCGTGGCCATGGACGGGCAGGCGGCGATGGCGCCCTACGATTACAGCCTGATCGTGGGGCCCCTGCAAGAACCGGCCAGCCCCAGAACACCGCGCTTCGACTCCGCCGGCTGTGCGCCGCTCCACACCGGGCACCGGACCGCGGCGCAGCGGTACAACGCCCGGCTCTGCCAGGCTGGCCTGGAACCCGAGAGGTGAGCGCAGCCGAGCAAGGGCGGGCGGCGGACGGGACGGGCCCTCCGGGGCCCCTCCAGGGCACGCGGCTCCCGGAGCGAGGGGCGGTGGGTGCGCGTCGGGTCTCGCGGGGGTTCTGCGCCGCCGCTTCCAACCAGGGAGAGCAAGAGAGGCGCTGGCGGCGCTGAAAGCAGCGGTAGCCTCCCAGCCACCCGGCCCGCGCTTGCCCAGCCAGCCCTGCAGAGAATGGCTCTCCCTGGCAGGCCTGGCATCAACGCCTGGTGACGCCTGGGGGGATGGACGGCCTCTGCCGGAGCGGATCTCTCTCTTGGGCATCCGCTGGGCCGAGGAGCTGCCATCTGGGATCACTTTCTCCTCTACTTAAAATATTCGAACTTCACCAGAGATTGGATCCTGCCTTTAAATCGACATTCTGGATTTAGGAAGCATATTATAATCTTCACTATATTTTCCTTGGATGAATGGATCCTCCCTCTTGGGGAGCAGTCTATCTCCAAAGGCCAGCTGCTGTGAAACCTGGAGTGAGTGGCTGCTGTCTCCCTTCCCCCCTCCAGCCTTTTCTGGGCGGAATCCCTTCTTGGGGAGCAGAGGAGACTCCCCCCTTCCCACTCCTTATATTTTGCAGCTCTTGTTGTGAAGGAGGGCAGAAGTCCTCCCCACTCCCCAAAGGTTCAGCATTAGGCCAAGCAAAGCGGGGCTACAATCAGGCAGTAACCCGGTTTGACCATCCTGCCAAACGGTGTGCGATGCTGTGTTGTAGCCAAAAGGGCTTTGTTTGGTAAATGGGTCCAGGAGAGACTGGCTGCTCTCTGGGTGTCTCTCTCTGCATTTCAGGAGCTTCAGGTAAGAGAGGAGGAAGCCCCCCCCCAAATTACACTCTGTTCCGTCATTGTTGAGTGCAGATTTTGCTCTCCTGAAGAGCCCCAGCAGCTCCTCACCCAGCTCCCTGCCACAGATAGTGGCCTTGGCACAGCTGGTCCTGATATGTGACTGCCAGCCTGGCCCCAAACAGGTGGCCCAGAAATCAGGCAGACTAGTGAGCAAGAGGCAGTGCAGCCCCCATGCCTGGGAAGTGTATTTGTGTGTATGTGTGAAAGGACAGGACGAGGAGGGGAGAGGCAGGGCCCTTAGGCCTCCTTTCTGCCTGGGGCACTCAGGGGGAGACGGAGCTGGTGAGCTGGTTCGCTCACTCGTGCCTGGACTGCACCTGGTCTCCTTGGAGGGAAGCACCTGCCTGGGGTGGGGAACCACAAAGAGAGTCAGAGGAATCACAGGGGCAAAAGGAATCTCTCACCTCAAGCCCCCCCCCCACTTTCTCAGCTGCATGAAGGTTTGGGGTGCAAAAACCAGGGCTGGGGGGCGGTGAAGAATCAAGGCTGGTTCAGGTGAGATGTGAGTCCAGGAAGAAGCAGGACTGGTAGTTTACATCAGGATAGGTTTGGCTTGGCAGGTTACCTGAACTAGCAAAGGTGCTTCGTTAGCTGGCTGTGGGATTAACTGCATTGTGTAAGCCCAGCCACGGTGGGTGCAGGTGTGCTTGAAACTCTGGGTCTGCCCACATTGATGGGCCATCCACATGCAGGGTCTTCTTTTCAAGGCACCAGACTTGGGAGCCCCCTCCTTGCAGCTCAGTGGACCGGGAGGTCCAGGGCCCACTGGCACCCAAACCACACCGTGGCCGGTGCCCCCTTCCTGTTGTGCAAAGGAGCATGACCTGCCTTGAACCCTTTGGACGGGGCAGGGTCAAAATCCCGGCCATCAGTAAACCTTTGCTGGGGTTGTTTGTGCCAGCGTTTGGGCTAACTTGTCCTTTCAGGCTGGACCGAGAGCCAAGCAAACAAACCAGGTGTATTGTTGTGTTTGTAAACTGCCAAGAGTCCAGTGGAGGGGCAGCTGCAGACACGGGGGGGGGCAGTCTGGGTCAGCAGGCCTGCAGGAGCCCATTGGGCTCACACTGGGGGGGAGGGGAATGTCCTCTTTTTCTGCAGTCCTGTGGAGACTGAATTGGGGGTGAATGGAAAACAGCAAAATTGCCATTATTAAAAAAACAGATGGTGTATTTGAACAACGTCTGAAATTTTGCTCCCCTTGAAAATCAGCCTAAGAGCAAGTAGGCAGGATTCTGCTCGGAGGCAAGATGGAGGCCTTGGGAGTTAATCCTGGGACGGGGTCTCCAAGCTTGGCCCCTTTTAAGACTTGTGGACTTCAACAGTTCAACTCCCAGAATTCCCAGTTATGCCAAGTTTGGACAGGCAGCAATCCTTAAATGTCAAACACTTTGGTTTCAAAGAGCTGGTTTGATGAACATTTTTTAAAAAGATTTGCTATCTTGGAATTCCCACAAGGGGGAGGGAGGTTTCCCCTGGAATTGGCTGCAATTAAAAAAAGGCAAGTTTGGTGACTAGTTAGAAACAAGTTGAGTTCCTTTGGCCTATAGAAATATCAGAAGGGGGGCTCTGATCCACCACCACTCCGCAGTGACAGTTGCTCATGCACCAAGCATAGCTCTGCAAACCCCCGCAAGGTGGATCCCCCCTCCCCCGGACAACCAATTGTAGCCCTCCTGTGCTGTTGCATGTGTGAATGTGTCCGTTCTGCAAGGGGAGGGCAGGCATTTGATGCTGCTTTTCACCAAAGGCCCACACCCTCAAGCCACATCAAGTCAAGGCCCAAAGGGCCTGGCCTGCCTGCCTGCCCTGGGAGGGGGGCTGTTTCGGCCACAGCATAGCACCCAACTCCTCAGATCCATGCAGGAGGCGGGGGGGGCGCGAGAATAATGGCTCACCTAGTTCAGAGTCAGCCAAGCTGCACGTCCAACATTGAAGAAGGGAGAGCGATGTTTTGGGTCTAAGCCCAGAGAGCAGAGCTGCTGAACCCTGCCCTGGCCAGGCCGCCCCATAAGTAGGCCCGTCTCCCTGGTGGAAAGAGATGGGGGTGTTCTGAGAAGGGCCAGGCCTCTCCTGCCATCTCCAGTCTTGAGATCTGGTGATCTCTGTCAATGGCGGGGCCCCAAGAGAAGCGGATCAGAACCCACCGGGGGCGGGGGGAGGGGGGCATCCCGGTATAAGTCTTCAATCCAGCCTTGGTTCAGGACCCCAGGAGGCATTTGAAGCTGCTGGTCCCTGTGATTCACACTATGAATGTCAGACAACAGCCAGACCCAGAAGCATGTGTGCAAAAACACAACCATTTGCACGCGAGGGGTGTTGCAGATGCCTTGACCTGACAATGCCCCCCAATTGCCCGCTTGGGCTCCTGCAGATCTCCACCTCTAGCAGTCCTTGCCCGCTGCCCCTTGCACACGTGGCCTGCCCTGGCCTCACCCCGGGCACCTTCCCACGGGCATTGGCTCTGAGCAGCCGGTGGCCCAGCCCTGCCCTGGAAAGCGGCTTCCTCCAGGGGCTATTTCTGCCTCAGGACAGAGAGTGACGTGCAACCGCTAATCCCTAAAGCCCTAAAGGGACCAGCTCAGCCGCAGGGAAGCCCAGGGCAGGAATCGCAGCTCAGAGGGGGGGAGGGCACCGGGCCCCATTCTTCTGCCTGCCGAGGGTGCGCAGCTGCCCTTGGGAGGCAGTTGGGGGTCCCACCGCTTAGTTGGAATGTGGCAAACGTTGAGATCTTTGCCATCCAAATTTTACAAGCGTCTGTTGTTCCTCCTCCTGGGCTTTGCCAGCTTTTATTTATTTATTTGTCTTCCTAAGCTGCTCGATGCCATCCGCGGCCAGTCAGGGATGGAGACAGAAGCCTGCCCAATTCCCCCCCCCCCCCCCCCCCCCCGTTAACCCACAGCCCATCTGCTTGGCTTCAAAGCTGAAGCAGCCCTTTTGCAGGCAGCTCTGGGGCTGAGTCTATGAGTCCCCCCAGTCTCTGGGCCCAGGATGCCCCCCTGAACTCAGTGCCCCCCCCCAGAAGGGCGGCCTTGGAGCCACATCACGCTGGAGGGCTACACAGCCACCCAGTGCCTCCCTTCCCTGCAACGATGCTACACAAACAGCAGCAGCCGTGGTTGCTGGGCCCCGAGGCTGTTTTGCTGGCTCTGGGGGGTCCCTGGGGGTGTAATTACCCTAGGCAAGTTGTTCAAGGCAACAGGGTGTGTGTGTGTGTGTGTGTGTGTGTGTGTGTGTGTGTAGAGACATGAACTGCTGCCACCTGCAGGCTTTCAGCTAGTGCCTCCCCATCCCCAGCAGGTCAATCCAGCCAAAGCTTTGGTGGGGAAGGTTCGGGAGGGAGGAGAGTGGCCTGGAGATCACGTAGACCCTTTGGAAGTGGGGGGAGGGAGGACCAGGGTTTGTCCCAGGAAAGGAGGGGCAGCCCCAAAGCTCTCCCCAGGGCTTTCCTGGCTGCTGGAGGAAAGGCAGGGCCTGCAGGGGGGCTTTGCTGCCAGTTTTCAGCAGCCTCTCAACTGATGCCCAGGGCTGCACCCAAGGGAGTGCTGGGGGCAGCAACAGCTTCAGCCCCTCCCTCAATGAGAAATAGGGAATGAAAAAAAGACTGTTCAACCTCAGGTGCTCAAATGGCAGGTGTTTAAAGTTGCCTCAGGAAGGACTCACCTGGATTTCTTTCCTGAGGGCAGAGGGGGCTTAAAGGCCTCTTCCAAGGGAGGGGGAAATGCCTGAGACACCCCCTCCCCTGCATCATCTTTCAAAGGTGATCCTGAGCGTAGACTTGCACTGAATACGGAGTCAATATCTGTGATCCTTTTGACCAGCCACGGCCAGCTAAGACCCTCCATGCCCCTTACCCCCAAAACGGACTCTTCTCCAGTTGGTCACTGCTCAGAGTTGTACTGGGAGAGCGGGACTGAGGTTTTCAGTTACACCAGTAGGGGGCAGCAGACACCCAGAGCCCTGCTAATAGTCCTGAGCAGATCAATGTATGGCAGAGGAAAGGCTGGGGAATTCTGGGAGTTGAAGTCCACAAGTCTTAGAGTTGTCAGGTTTGGAGTCCTCTGGTGTAGGGTAGCCCCAAATTAGGAGGAGCCCCATCTTTTTGGACAGAGCAGCTTTCATCTGCTGCCGTGAGGATGCCCAGCAGTTGGTCCATCTTGGACGGTCAGGGCTGCTTAAGTGCCTAGCTCCGATTCCGGCCCCAAACCCACCCCTCTTCCTGTCTTCACAGGCCACAGTGACGCAGAACCTTAGCTGGCAAAGACTGCCTTACAAAAGATTACACAAGTACACATTTGATTAAGGAACCCTTTTAATTCTTTCCTTCCTTCCTTTCTCGTGCCTTCAGTATGAAATTTAGCACAGAGCATAGCAACCGCCCTCCTCCAGCAAATCACCAGGAATTCTTAAAAATTGGATTGGCGCTTAACTCTGGCGATTCCTGGTGGCTTCCTTGACCCCATTGGCAAAGTAGCTGGCCGTTGCCTTCTTCCGCTCATAGCCCTGAGATTCCTGGTGGTGTTCCATCCAAGCACAAAGTCTTCTAATAAATTAAAGCAAATTTGCATCCTTGCAGCCTCCGTGTCCTGCCCTCCCCTCCCTCCCTCACATTGTCCCCTAGTCCAAGTGCTTTATTGGCACTGCTGTTTTGGAAGTATAAACCTCGTCTTTTTTTCAACACAAGACCAAAGATTCATGCTGGTCAGAAGGTGATTCATATTTATTTCTCTTCCAGATATTTAACAATTCTCCCATCATCCAGGTCATGGTTATCCTAAATGTGCTTTTCCCAGAAGGCAACTGGACTTTCTTGGGTTTTTTCCTTGAAACTGTTTCACTTCTCATCCAAGAAGCTTCTTCAGTTCTAAATGTTCTAAATAACTTCAGTTAAAACAGAAGCAGCTTCTTGGATGACAAGTGAAAAATGTTCAAAGAAAAAAACAAAGAAAAAACCAAGTTGCTTTTTGGAAAAGCACCTTTGACTTAACAATTGATGTTTCTTTCTGTAGGATACATATGGGATAATCTGACAAATATATGGTATACGTTGTATGTAGGCATGTATACGTACATATATACATGAATATACTTACACACACACATAACTACCTACCTACGCAGGGCAGGAACGAATCGTGTTCCTACTAACATGAAGGGCTATTTCCCATTCCACGGGTTGATTAAATCTTCACCATCCACCAAAGAGGCATTTGAGGCCTAATCAGGAGATGCACTTAATTTTTTGCCATGCAAGAAACCAAACTTCACGGAAGGGGAATTAGAGTCCCTCCTCCCTCCTCAGCTGCTGCTCAATCTGTGACCGGGATTTTTCAGCCCAATTTGCTGCTTTTTTGGGATGCCAAATCACAAGATGAAGCAGCAGCCCCAACACAGAATGAGGAGGGGGAGGAGGAGATGCCAGCAAATTCCAGCCTTGGGGAGCAAACGTGGGGATCCTTCTGAGTGGGGCATCTTTTGAACAGTCCTGAAGCTATCCCCCCCTCCCCCCTCCGTTTTGAAGATCCTCAGAGGCCACCAACTTGACCTCAATGGGATAAAGGAGGCCTCTGGGGGCTTCCAGGCTCTCTTGCTCCGGCTTGGAGCCCAACAGTTGGGATGAGCCACTGCAGAGCAGCCTGTTCTGCCAGCACTCAGCCTGGGGCTCCAAGTAGTGGGGAGCGGCTGGGGGTGGGCACCAGGACAGGCTTTGCCTGGGCACAGCAGCTCATCAGGGTTTGTGGGCACCAGAGCTCCCTTGGACCACTTGCTCTGCACTCTCCAAAGCAGAGCAGCTGCCACCCGCCCACCCTGGGGGCTTTCGTTCAGCCAACCAAGGGGAACTCCGCATTGTCAAACTCCTGGTGTGTTTAGTAACTGTGTGTGTGTGTGTGTGTGTGTGTGTGTGTGTGTGTGTGTGTGTGTGTGTTGAAGGGGAGGCACAGCTCCCCACTTGCCAATTCCTGGATTTCCAAATTGCTGCCAGCAGTAGGACTAGGCTTCAGTCCAGCAGAGGAACAGGGGTCTCTGAGCACGGTCAGAGTGCCTGGCCTTTTCTTGCTGAGGATTTTAAGGCACCCTCGGAATACAGCCAAGGTCGCCTGCCAGGTTGGGGGGGGTCAGGTCTGTGGGGTGAACCAGCCCTCTTGCTGTGCTGACCTGCTTCCTCCCCAACCCAACTGGGGCCGAGGAATCTCGCGCCCAGAGGCAGGGGGTTCAAAGCAAGAACCTTGGCCGTGGGGCAGCCATGTGGGCCTCGCCCCTCAGCTGCCTGCCTGCCTGCCTGCCTGCCTAATACAGTCCTCGGTTGTATAAACAAGAGGCATAGAGTCAAGACCATGTGTGTTAGTACTGCCTTACAAAGCCTTAGTAAAGCCACCCCTGGAATCCTGCATCCAGTTTTGGTCGCCCCGATATAAAAAAGATGTGGAGTCTCCGGAAAGACTGCAGAGAAGGGCAACTAAGACGATGAGGGGACTGGAGGCTAAAACACACGAAGAACGGCTGCAGGAATCGTGTTTGGCCAGTCTAGAAAAAAGGAGGACGGGGGGTGACATGTATTCCAGAATTTGAGACAAATACTGGCACAAAGAAGAAGGGGCAGCTCCACCTTTTCTCCAAAGTACCCGAGGGCAGGACAAGAAGCAAAGGATGAAAATTAAGGAGTTCTTTACTGACAGTGAGGACAATTAATCAGTGGAACAGAAGTTGCCTTCAGAAGTTGTGGGGACTCCATCACGGGGTTTTTTTAAGAGATTGGACAGTCACTTGTCTAGAATGGTACAGGGTTTCCTGCTTGACCAGGGGGCTGGACTAGAAGACCTCCAAGGTCCCTTCCAACTCTGTTCTGAATTGAATTGAAAACTTCTGGCTCCTCTTCCTGTCCCATTCAGGTGGGAGCCCAGTTCCAGGCAGATCAGGACTGGGCTGGGCTGAAGCTTTTCTGCTGGAGTATTCCTCCAGCCGGCCTTTCTCCCATGCCATGCCAAAGCGGCTCCTTCGGCCGAGGGAGTGGCATGGCATGGGCTCCTGTTTTGCCACGCAGGAGCATGATGAGAAATGTGGCGGGTGCCTTAAAAGCACCTGTTCTTTCAAGCAACTCTGCTGGAACTACAGTTCCCAGGATTCAACAGGGCAGCAATGGCCTGCCCAGCCCAGGATTGGGAAAAGGCCCTTTGCTGCCTGTTGCTGCTCTCTGACACCGGCTAGGCCTGTGCCCTGGCGAGCGCTTGCTCCCTTCTGCGACACCCCCCCCCCCCGCACCGGGCCCCGGCCCCGCCCCAGCTGCTCTTGGCTCCACTGTGCGCTCCGCCTTGGCCTTCAGTTCAAAGATGTCGCCCTTTGGGGAAGCAAGGCTTCTTTCCCCCCCTCCTCCGCCTTTTTCTTGGCAGATGGAGACCCCCACCCTGTGGCAGCTCAGCCCCCCCACACCAGGCATGTGTTCCTGGCACCTCAGTGCCAGCCTTTACATTCACTGGCCTCAGCCAGGCCTCCCGGAGGGCGTCTCAGCTGGGGGCAAATTGGTATCACGGGGCTGGAAAGGCGGGCAGGCGTTTAATTGAGCCTCGCTATCATGCCCTGGTCAGGAGATCCGGATGAGCTCGTGGGTGGCCACTGCCCATCAGGAAGAGGGGGGTGAGTCAGCTGGGGTTTGCAGCCCCATGAACCCCCAGGTGGAGCCGGTTCGCACCAAATGCCAGGCTGGGACACAGGGGGAGATGCCAGGCCCTGCCCTCCTCCCCTGATCCTGGGCTGCTGGGGCAAAGCATAAGCACTCGGCCTTGCAAGCGGAGGGTGGAATGAGGAGGGGGGTTCCTGGGTTTCTCTTCTGGGTTCACTCCAAGGGGCTGCCCAGAAGAATGGGGGGAAAACAGCCACCGCAACCTGATCAAGGCCAGTCAAACTCACAGGCAAAAGTGCATTTGGCCTGGAAAGGGCTCTTCCTCCCCCCCCCTTGCCTGGGGGGCCCGGCCCCCCGCAGCCCGGGGGGGGGGGGGAGTAGCGGGGAAGGGCCCGCAGGAGGAGCCCCGAGGCCGCCTCTCCAAGGACAGGGGGGCAGCTCCAGGGGAGGGGCCGCCTTCGCCCAGCTGATCGGAGGCCGCCGACCGAGCCCCCAGTTCCGGGCAGGAAGCTGGCCGTAAGCAGAGGGGAGCCCCGGTCACGAGCCCCGCTTCCCGGCCGCCCTTGCACGAAGCCCCCGCGGCCGCCCGGAGCTCGCGCCTCTGCAGCCCCGGGCGGGAGCGGCCCCCCCCCCCTCCCGGGGCCGCGGACGGCCGCGGGGGGGGGGGGGGGGGGGGGGGGGGCGGGCGCTGCAAGGGACGCCGGGACTGACGCGCCAGCAGGAACTGAGCCGAGCGATGCGCGCGGGAGGCGGCGGGCAGCGGGGCAGCCTTCGCACGGCCCGTCTTCCGGGGGGCGCCGCGCCCAACCGCAGCCCAGGCGGCCGGGTGGGTGGGTGGGTGGGGGGGGGGGGGGGGGGGGGGGCCGGGGCCCCCCCCGGGGGGGGCGGGGGGGGGCGGGGGGGGGGGGGGGGGCGCAGGCTCACAGCCCCTCCCTCCCTCCCTCCCTCCCTCCTCAGCATGGCCGATTACCTGATCAGCGGCGGCACCGGCTACGTCCCCGAGGATGGGCTGACGGCGCAGCAGCTCTTCGCCGTGGCGGACGGGCTCACCTACAAGTAAGCGGCGCCCGGGGCGCGGGCGGGGGTCGCAGGGGGCGGCCGCCCGGGAGGAAGTGGCGGCGCACGTGGCTCTGCCCGGCTGCCCGACGCTCCGGGACTTGGGGGGGAGGGGGCGCTGGGGGGCGCTGGCAAGGGGCTCCGGGCGAAGTGGAGGCCGGGCGCGCAAGGGACGCCGCAACCACCGGTCGCCCGCCCGCCTCTCCCCCTGGCAGGGAGCCCTTTGCTGGAGTGGGCAGAAGCTGCCCCCCTTTGCTCAGCTGATGGTGCCTCTCACCCCCCCGGCCCCCCCAACTCTCCCAGACCTCTAGCTAAGCCGCGGCTGTCGCCTGTTTCTGGGCCGATCCGTGCAGGCAGGCAGCAGGTCAGGGGGTCTCTGCTGGGCTTGTGAGCCATAGGAGAACCTCTGCAGCACCCCGTCCCTCTGGGCCCGGACTGAATCCGGGTGCCCCTTGAGCCTGCTTGGCAGCGCCCTCCGCCCCCGGGGCTGCTTTTCTGCAGGAGGATGCGGTGGCATGAAGGGGCTCTGGCAGAAACCTTGTTTGGCAGGGCTTTTCTCCACGGCATCCGGTGTGTTCATGAGGGATGGGGTGCTGCCTACCCCGATGGTGCTGCTTACAACGGGGTCCAAATGGCTGCTGGTGCAACTGGCCCTGGCCCCGCTGCATACCTGGGGCTGCCCGTGGTGACAGGCCTGAGCCTCCTGCCCGTCGGCTGAGGGGTTTGGTGCCTTTTCCAGGGCCAGTGCTCTGAGAGAAGGTGGGGAACCCCAGAATGGGAAGGGGCTTCACAGCCCGCTAGCAGCCTCTTCATGCCGCGATCTGGCATGCCTGAAGCCAGGGCCGGGCAGGTCTCAGCCTGGCTTGCTTTCCTCTTAAGAGACCCTGCAGGGGCTCCGCAGGCAACAGGGGTGCCTCCTTTGCAGCAAGGAAGGCTGCTCCGATGGGCCCAGCATTGCGTGTCTCAAGGCGGGTTGGGGGGGGCTCCTGCAGGGTCAGCACAAAACTAAGGAAGTTGGGAGGAGGAGAGAAGCAAGGCAGGACAAGATGCAGGCTGAGCAGCCTCTTAGCTTTGCAGGTAATTGTGCAAACTTTGTGGGAGGGCCTTTCTCTCTTGGTTTTGGGAAGAGAGAAGGACCGAAGGATTCCTCCAAGGGTGAGATGCGGGGAGTGAGAGCACAAAAGGGTGCAGTGTGGTTCTTTCTAACTGGTGCTGCTGATTTTACTAAATGCCTGGGGCTCCTTTCAGCCCGGGTTCCCTGGTTGGCCTTCGCTCTCCAGCTGTTTGGGGGCCACTGCAAAGGCCGAGTCCCTCCTCTACCCCTGGCTGTGTGGGGGCTTCCTTTCCAGGGCACCTTTTCCCCTGTGAAAACTCGGTTTTGCTTTCAGTTCTGCGCTCTCTTCTCAGCCAAACAAGGTTTATAATAAAGCGGAAATTTGTTTTGTTTCTGACAGAGAAAACCAACGGTTAAAATGAGCTCCTTCTGAACCGCAAGAGCGGCTGGGTCCAGGGACCGGAGAAGCTGGGCTGCTCCCTTCCTCAGACACGCCCCTGCAGCGTTGGGCACCTGCTCTCTTGCATTCCTGAACCTGGCAGGGGGGGCTGCGTAGCCCCTTCCCACTCTGCAGTGGCCCATTTGGCCTCACATTTCACGGCTCAACCTCCTACCTTTCTTCAGGAAAAGCCTTCCAATATCTCTGCTAGCCAGCCTGCTTCCGTGTGAGGCTTGTTTACCTAAGTCCTACCAATAAAGTCCCTCCTTAACTGCAGGGTTAAACAACCGCAGAGTTTAACCTGGTTGCTTCTTTTCAACGGTGCGTTCTGTTAATATTTAATGACTGAGCATTGCCTGCAATCCTTTACGGGACAGGTGAGGCACTGAGGTTTTGAACAAAACAGGGGTTTTCGAAGCCGGCAGGTGGCCTGCCCAGAGCCGCCTCTTTGAGGGAGCTTTCATTCCCTCACTCGCACAAGCCTGGGGGTCCGGCAGTCGTCCTGGCGCATGTGGGAAGAGGGCCTGGGCTGGGTCAGGCTTTGTCCCAAATGAAATTGGCATTTGTTTGCGCTTCGTTTGGGCACCTGCAGAGCCTTGGGGAACGTGGCACTTAAATGCATTTGGTTCACATTTCAAGGAGAGGCTGTGTCCCCACAGGTCAGCTGCTGTTGCAAAGGCTCTGCTGGAGGTTACGGGTGGGGCCTGTGGGCGGGGTTGAGCCAGGCTGGTCAGACGGGGGGAGGGCGTCTCTGCAGGGATAGGGGAGCAGCCCCTTGGTCCCTGCACCAAGGAAGTGTGCCCGTCACCACCAAGTGCCCAGGGAGAAGGCTCCGTGCTTTTCTGCCTTATAGCTGAACACGAGGTCAAATTGAGAAGGGGGGGACACAGTGTTCTCGGAATTGGGGAGGGGCTTTGGGAAAGTTTCCCCCCAGGTTTGAAAGACCGCCTTGGATCAACTTTGTTTTCTAACGGAAACCTTGGCAATTTTGATCTAATTGAGGATTTACAGTTTTTTTTTTATTTATTTTTTTATTTGATTTATATGCCGCCCTTCTCCGAAGACTCAGGGCGGCTTACAGTGCGTTAAGTTTATTTTGCCTTGCTGGCATCATCTCCGGTGTATGAACTCTGTGGTACAAAAGTTGAGAAGTTAAATAAAAGTTAAAAGCCCTTTGGGGGTATCCCCAGTTCAGAGGTGACGCCGCCTTGAATTCCACCCAGTGGATAGAAACCACCGTGGGAAGCAGAAACGGAGAAATCACAGCCCAGCTTACGGCAATGGCCTAGTTCAAAGCACAGGCTGGGTGGGATAGATGAGCTGAAACAGCCCCCAGCCCTTTACGGCCTTGTAAACGGCACCGCTGCCGCGTGTTGTTTCCTGTTTGTGCTACAGGAGGGCAGCGGAACACACACACAGAGGACAATGTTGGTGATGTCTCTGATTTGGAAAGACTCTGGTTGACCAAGAGCCTCGCAGCCTCCTCCACCTCGGCTGCCCACCAGTTTCCGGCTGGGTTCAGGCCAGGTTCCTTTAGGGTGTTGTGACCTTTGGAGGGCTGGCGGTGGAGGTAGTGTGGCCGTCCTGGCCAGGGGTGAAATGCTCCCAGTTCGGACCAGATCACTCAATCCAGTAGCGATGGCGGCAGGTGGTTCGGAGAACCGGTAGCAAAAATCCCTGCACCACCCACCCACCCACCCACCATGCCCAGCTGAGCTGCAGGATCATCAGAGGCTTTTTTTTTTTACTTTTAAAAGCATTTTTTCTACAACCTCTTCCAACGAAAAAATGCTTTTAAAAGTTTTTAAAAAAAGCCTCTGATGATCACGCAGCTCAGCTGGGATAGTCAAGCTTTTCAAAGCATTTTTTTCTGCAACCTCTTGGCCGAAGAGGTGGTAAAAAAAATGCTTTGAAAAGTCTCTGATGATCCCAGCTGAGTTGCCTGATCGTCAGAGGCTTTTCAAAGCATTAGAAAAAATGCTTTGAAAAGTTTTTGGAAAAAAAAGTTGGCCACGCCCACCCAGTCACATTAAACCCCCCCTACCAAGCCACGCCCACAGAACCGGTAGTAACAAATTTTACATTTCACCCCTGGTCCTGGCTCTCTTGGTGGCTCTCGGGACCATCAGCCACAGTGTCCCTCTGGCTGGCTTCAGGACTTGGAGGCTCCTCCTCGCAGTGGTTCCCTCCCTCCGTGGCTGGTGCCCCTTGGTGGGTCTAAGTAGGGAGAGGCTGGGGCCTGACCTGCTCTGGGTGGATGGATGGATGGATGGATGAGAGAGGAGGGGTCCAGGGCTGCGTTCCATGGCTGTGGAGCTGCCCGGACTGGCCTTTTACAAGGCAATCGGCCATATCAACCGTTGGGCTCCATGTGGTGCCAGGGCTGGTTTGCCTCCCGCTTCCCATTTGGGCTGCATCGGGCATCGGGTGACCTCTGCTTCTCTCCCCACAGTGACTTCCTCATCCTTCCCGGCTTCATCGACTTCACGGCAGATGAAGTGGTGAGTCTGGCAGAGGCGGCTTCCCGCAGGGCCTCTGGGGGACCCCATCAAAGGGGGAGGGGGGGTCACAGCGGTCCTGTTCAGCTCCCTGGCCTTGAGAGCCCAGCTTGGCTCCCGGGGCAGAAACAGGCCTTGCTCGCCCATCTGCATCCGAAGGGCCGATTGCTCGGGCTTTATCCCAATGCCAGTGAGGTGGGCTTAGATCGGAAGGGCCCAGGACACGGACACACACAGCTTCAGGTTCTCCTGCATCAGCACCAGCTCTACCTTCTCTGCAAGGCTGAACTGGGGGGGCAGCCTGGCTCCCTCCAGTGGCGCCTTCCAGCTTGGCCTGGGAGAGGATTGTGGGGGGCGGGAGACACACCTGGCTGACAGAACACTGAGCTGTGGCCCTCTTTGCTTGCAGGACCTGACCTCCGCCCTGACCCGGAAGATCACCCTGAAGACCCCCCTTATCTCCTCTCCTATGGACACTGTCACCGAGTCAGATATGGCCATTGCCATGGCGGTGAGCTGAGTCCTCTGGGGCTGGTGGGGCGCCTGCTATGGGTCTGCCCAGGGGTGAGCTCCTCCCGGGGCCCCTTTCCATGGGGATGCCAAAGCAGGGGCCAGAGGGCAGAAGGCAGGGCTGGGGTGGCCTCGGGACTTCAGGGCTCCCGCCTCTCTCCCCCTGCAGCTGATGGGGGGGATTGGGATCATCCACCACAACTGCACCCCAGAGTTCCAGGCCAACGAAGTCCGCAAAGTCAAGGTGAGTGGCACTTGGAGCTGTGGAATCCGGCCTGAGGGCTGGGCTGGCTGTGGGGCTGCAGGACCAGCCCAGGGACGCTGGCGGGAGAGGCCGCTCATATGCCCTGAGGCTGGCCTTGCGTCAGGAGCCCCCTTTCCAGACTTGCCTGCCAGGCTGCCCCGTGGAGGAAGGGCGGGCATGGGAGCAGATCCGAGAACGCGAGTGGGGAGGGGGCAGCTCTACAGAAAAAGTCTCCCCTCTTCCTCGGGCCACAGAAGTTTGAGCAAGGCTTCATCACCGACCCGGTGGTCCTGAGCCCCAGCCACACCGTGGGGGACGTCTTTGAGGCCAAGATCCGGCATGGCTTCTCGGGCATCCCCATCACTGAGACGGGCAAGATGGAGAGCCAGCTGGTGGGGATCGTGACCTCGAGGGACATCGACTTCCTCTCTGAGAAGGACTACAACACCCCTCTCAGTGAGGTGAGGCAGCGGCCCGCCTTCCCTCCTCCCCCCAAGGGTTCCCGGGGGTCAGAAGCCCTCTGGCAGTGGGGGGCCCCTAGCAAGAGCCAGCCCCTCCTCTGGGGCAATCGCCCGGCTGGATTGGTGCCCCTGCTGAGCCCAGTTTAGGAGAGGCTGTTCTCATCCCACTTTGCCCCCCAAATGCAAACCTGTTCACCCCGTGCCTAAAGCAGCAGCTGCCATCCTGCCACCCCAGGGGCTGAGTGGGCCGGCTGAGCCCCTGCCACCCTTTCCCTTCTTCAGGTCATGACCAGGCGCAGTGACCTGGTGGTGGCCCCGGCAGGCGTCACCCTCAAAGAGGCCAACGAGATTCTGCAGCGGAGCAAGAAAGGTAGGAGGGGCCGTGAGATGGGGGGGAGGGTCTTCCTGTGGCCTGCGGGGGGGAGGGAGGGTCCTGCCTGGCCCAGCCAGCTGCAGGGCGGCTCCCTTCCCAGGCCGTGGCCTGACCGAGCGACTGGCCCTCCTGCCCTGCAGGCAAGCTGCCCATCGTGAATGAGGTGGATGAGCTGGTGGCCATCATTGCCCGCACCGACCTGAAGAAGAACCGGGACTACCCACTGGCCTCCAAGGACTCGCGCAAGCAGCTGCTGTGCGGGGCAGCCATTGGCACCCGGGAGGACGACAAGTACCGGCTGGACCTGTTGGTGCAGGCCGGCGTGGACGTGGTAGTGCTGGTGGGTTCAAAGCCGCCCCCTCCCGGGCGATTTGGATGGCAGGCTCTGAATGGTGCCCGTATCCTTTGCTCAGCACCCCCAAATTGTGCCCCAAAACAAGGGAAGCCAAAAGGCCGTTTAGAAGCGAAGCTGGCATCCCTGGCAGCAGTGTCTCCACTGAATCCCCCCTCCCAAAAGCAGCCTCTGAGGGCCTAAGCCCCACCCCCCAGCTGAAAGCTAGCCCTGAGTGCCATCAGGAGCCCCTGGAACACAGACTGAACTCTGCTGCCACCTGTGAGGTTCACGGAGTCAAGGGCATGGAAGCCCCTGCTGGAGCATCCTGCCCCCCCCCCCCCCCGCCTCCCCGGATTTTGTCTTTAATTTAAGGCCGGCAACTCTGCAGCCGGGATCCTGGTCTGTTTCCCTGGAGGAGAGGGGATTCCCATCCTGGCCCCCTCAAGGCTACGCCTGGCATGGCACCCGAGGGCTGCTGCTTTCTGCCCTTGCGTGTCTTTCCTTTGTGGGTCCACGTGTGGCCAGGCGACCCTGCTTGCCTTGTGCTTATTTGGGGGGCCTAATGGTCCTTTCCTTTCTTTTCCTCCCCCCCCCCAGGACTCATCTCAGGGAAACTCCGTCTACCAAATCAATATGGTCCACTATATCAAGCACAAATCTCCAGAGCTGCAGGTCGTCGGGGGCAATGGTGAGCGCCTGAGGGGGGCATGGCCTTTGGGGGTCTCCCTTTGGCCGCAGCCTCCTTTGCTTCCAGGCTGCTTCCCCAGCTGAAGGGGCCCTGCAGGGTCATAACTAGGAAGCAGCTGCCAAGCCTCTGAATCTTGATCACGTGACCATGGGGCTGCTGCAAAGGTCGTAACTGTGAAAAATGGTCATAAGTTAGATTTGTCAGTGTCATAACTTTGAATAGTCACTAAACAAACTGTTGTAAGTCAAGGACTAGCTCTACTTACCTATCACCCTATCGGTGGATAAACCAACCCTCAGATTTTTAACCAAAGTACCATGAAAAATGTGGGCGGCCTTATCCGTGGGTGGCACATTTTTCACAGCGTGTTTAGGGTCAGCTGATCCGCCGATGGGCTTATAAACAAGTATATGTGGAGTTATCCTTGGAAGACCCTGGCAGAGTTAAAGTTTCCTCCCAAAACCTCCGTTTGTTTAGAAACTTCCCCATGGGAATTCTCACGGTCAGGGGAAAACAACTTGGTATCAGATTTTTTTCTGTCTGCGACTAAAGGTGGACGGACGGACGGGCGGATGGGCAGGTGGATGGAGGGCTGGGTTAGATAGAACCCAGAGTGGCCTCCTTTGTGTTGGAGGCCATTGTGTACCTTTGGTGCAAGAAGGACGTGCTTTGATTCCAGCATAGAGAGACCGGCTTTTGTCCGTAGCTTTTTCTGGAAGTGGCTCCTAAGAGCTTCCTGGCTCTTTACAGTCAATGACTTCGCAGAAATTCCTGAATTTACATTTTCTGGCTTTATTTTGCCAGAGGGAGGCAGGCTGGCTGCAAAGTGGAGTTTGGGGGGGGGGGCATCTGTCCTCTGTACCAGAAAGGTGCCTTAGTGTGGACCGAGGGCCCTTGGGGGGGAGGGGTTCTTTGTTGCTCAGGGGTCTTACGGGCCCTTCTGCTTTCTGCCCTACGGGATGCACAGTGGTGACAGCTGCCCAGGCCAAGAACCTGATCGACGCTGGCGTGGATGCCCTGCGCGTGGGCATGGGCTGTGGCTCCATCTGCATCACGCAGGAAGGTGAGACTGGGGTGGGACCCCAAGGGTGGGCACTCCCTGCCTCGGAGGAAGCAGCTTCTGAATTCTTCGTGTGCTCCGCGGCATCCTGGAGGTGGCTCCTCTGGGCTCAGCCTTTTGTGTAGCCCCCAAACAGCCCTGGTGACCCTCTGGGGTTGGCCTTTGCCCAGCCAGCAAGCGAGAGGCTGTCCCAAATCCCCCGCCCCTCAGCAAAGGCCAGATAGCCCCTTCCTTGGCCTTTACCTCCCTCCTGGTCTGCCAGTCAGCAGGGCTGGGTGAGGCTGAGTGAAATGCTCAGCCATTCTTGCCGTGGGCCCTGGGCCCTGCGGGTGGAGCCTGGAGGCGCACCAGCTGCAGAGTCCCAGGAGCTGGGAAGGTTGGCGCTCCCATGCCCGGAGACTGCAACACAATCACCCTTTTTTCCTCCCTGGGTCTCCGCTCAGAGCTGCCTGCGCTTTCCTGGCTGCAGCCCGTGGCTCTCTGGAGCTGCCGGGGTGGCCGAGGGCTGGGCCGGACCCTCGGTGGGCCCTTCCTGCCTATGACTCTCCCTCCCTCAGTGATGGCGTGCGGCCGGCCTCAGGGCACCGCAGTCTACAAAGTGGCAGAGTATGCCCGCCGGTTTGGGGTACCTGTGATTGCGGACGGTGGGATCCAGACGGTGGGCCACGTGGTCAAGGCCCTCTCGCTGGGGGCCTCCACAGGTGAGGGGTAGAAAGACCTGAGCCATCGTGGTCCGCGACAGGGAGATCAGTGCTGCCACAATACATACACGCACATGCATGTTCTCTCATGTTCTGCAAATGGGCATTGCATGCATACCTGCCACCAGAAAGCGTGACTGTTTTGAGTGAACTCCTTGAATTTCAGTTGTTTGAAAATGATCTCTGGATCCTTTTTCCCTTGAGGTCTTGATTAATTGCCTCACTTTGGGCCATGAAGCCCCCCACCCACCCTCCAAATCCTCAGCGCAGCTCAGAGGGGGCTTCTTCCTCAGTGTCCCTTGAGGCTGACTGGAGAGAGGGTGGCTGGGCCTGGCCCACAATGCCCCCAGGGACCCCTGCCGGAGGGAGGCTTTGCCTGACACGGTTTCCCCTCCCCCGCCTCTCTTCTTCCCCCAGTCATGATGGGGTCCTTGTTGGCGGCCACCACAGAGGCCCCTGGTGAGTATTTCTTCTCCGACGGAGTGCGGCTGAAGAAGTATCGGGGAATGGGCTCCCTGGACGCCATGGAGAAGAACCGCAGCAGCCAGAAACGCTACTTCAGGTGGGGGGGGGAGGAGGGGCAGGAGGTGGGAAAGGGCCCCCATGACAACAGCGGCTCTCCGAGGCCAGCTGGGCCTTGAGCAGGAAGGGAGAGGCAGGAAAGCCGGGCACAGCGGGAAAGGGAGGGGCTGCCCCAAAAGAGCCCCTGTGAGGGGGAGGGGCCTTTGTCGGGTCTGGCAACTCTTCTGCCAGGGCCTGGGGGCTCCAGGTCAGGCAGGGGGGACCCCTGGCTGGCCAAGAGTGCCACAGCCGAGCTGCCGCCATAGGATGGGTGGCTCAGCCCCACTCCTTTTGGGGGGGAGGGGGCTAGACAGACTGACCTCCAGCATCTCCCCTGCCGTGCCTTGCAGTGAGGGGGACAAGGTGAAGGTGGCGCAGGGCGTTTCCGGCTCCATCCAGGACAAGGGCTCCATCCACAAGTTCGTGCCATACCTGATTGCTGGTATCCAGCACGGCTGCCAGGACATTGGCGCCAGAAGCCTCTCCGTTCTGCGGTGAGTCCATGGGGGGGGGAGGCTCCCCTCTGGGACCCCGGGGCTCGGTGGGCCGCTTTGGGTGGCAGATGGGAGGGGAGGAAGGGAAGGACCGCAGGGCACCCAGGGAGGCAGAGGGGGAGCCTCCCGCAGCAGGAGGCCCTGGCAGGGGCCCCAGCCCAGCAGAGTCCCCAGTGGAAATGCGAGGAGAACGGAGTGGCCTGAAATCCAGACAGCCTCTCTCGGGCCCAGGGAGATCCCCACGGCACAGCCTCGGCCTGAGAAGGTTGTGCCAAGAAGGCCACTGCGAGGGAGTTCCCGCTTCTCCCTCCCCAGGCTGTCTCTTAGCACCCCTCCTCTAGCCAGCTTCCTTCCTTCCTCCTCACTCCCTGTTGCCCCCCCCCATCCGTACATACGTTGCCAAAGCTCACTGTCCCCCCCTCCCCCCCAAGGCCTGGGCTCAGGCCCTCGGCTGGGGCTCCCCCTTAGACTGGGCACCATTGATCCACCCCTCTTTCTCTCTGTCTCTCTCTTTTTCTGTCTTTCTCTTTTCACTCTTTCTCAGTCTCTCTGTCTCTTCTTTCTCTCTTCTCTTTCTCTGTCTCTTCTTTCTCTCCTCTCTCTCATTTTTTTTCTCTTTTTTCTCTCTTCTCTTTCTCTCTTTTTCTCTTTCTCTCCTCTCTCTCATTTTCTTCCTTTCTCTTTTCTCTTTCTCATTCTCTTTCTCTCTTTCTCTTTCGCTCTTGCATTCTCTCTCCCTTTCTATTTCGCTCTTTCATTTTCTCTCTCCCTCCCTCCCTCTCTCGTGGCTGGGAAGGTTGAGCCTCTGCTGCAGCCCCTCTCAGACCCCTCAAATATCCCCCCCTTCCACCATCTGCACTAGGCCCAGAGCTTCTGGTGGACTTAGGGGAGAAGGAAGGCCCCCTAAGCCCCCTCTCCCTTTGCTCTTGCCAGCTCCATGATGTATTCAGGAGAACTAAAGTTTGAGAAGAGGACGATGTCAGCCCAGATTGAGGGGGGAGTCCATGGCCTCCACTCGTAAGTCTCTCTGCTTCTTTGCTGCCCTGAAACCCCCCTCCCCCGCTGTGTGCCCCTTGTCGTCGTCCCCCCCCCCATGTCCAAACCTAGCAGGTCCAGTGCAATGGGTCGCCCTGCCCTTCTGCTTCCCCGGTCTTTCCCTCCCTCTCCCCCCCAGCCCAGTAGACTCCAAAGCTGTCCTGTCTCCCACCCAAGACGTTCCACCCAGAACATCTGTTGCCAGTTGGTGCCTCTGGGTGCCTCTTCCCCCCCCTCAGCCCTTGTCTGCCCCTCTCCAGGCCAGGGGTTCGTGAGTGGGCAACGGGAGGACCAGAAGGAAAAGTCCCCTTCGGCTTTTGGATGATGTCCAGGCCTGTGCCAGGCTTGAAGGGGGAATAACGCCCCCCCCCGGAAACCCTTGTCTCCCCCTTGTGTGCTTGAGTGGGGAAGGCCTTCTTGGCTACTTGTCCAGATCCCCACTTTGGGACATAGTGGGGGGGGGGGGCTACCGCTTTGCCTTGCCCGGTGCACTCGGCCCTTCTTCCAAGTGGAGCCTGCAAGGGGGCGCCTTCCTCTCCGTTTGCTGGCCAGGGGAGGGCTGAGCTCCCGGGGTCCATCCTGCCAGCTGAGGGCCGAGCAGCCCCTGTGGGTGTCTGCTGCTTTGCGGTGGTTGTGTGGAACGCACACCCTCCGGCTGCAGAGGGACTGTGGGTCTGCATGAGCAACATTGCTTGGGGGGCGCTTGGCCTGAGCCAATGCCAGCTGTGCCATGGTCCAAGGAAAGAGAGGTGCCCCCTTCCTCCTTCGGCCTGACTGAGCCTTGCCAGAAGAAAAGACGCAGGGGGAGGGGTCTCTTTCAGAAGATGGAGGGGCAGGTAGGAGGGCACCAGCACACCTGGGAGGAGCAAGAAGAAGCCTGCCCTTTTCCCCCTCTTCCTCCTCACCTGGGCCTTATTTGGGGCACTTCACCTGTCTTTGTACCAGCTGTTTAGGTTCTCCGGTCTTCCCCCGTGTCTGAAGAGATCATTCCAGAAGACAGTTCACCCTCCACTTGGCTGTCCGTCAGCCAATCCTTTTTGGGAACAGCTGGCACTCTCTCCCCCCCCCCCCCCCCCCGAGCTCCCAGATTCAGGGCTGTCCAGGGCAGAGCCGTCTGGCATTCTTAGGTAGCCCTTCAGGCAGCGCCTTTTGGGGCTCAGGAGCCCAAGGTCTGTCCCGGGCAGATTCCCTGCGAGGCCCCAGCGCTTCCCCTGCATGCAGAGCTTCCAGGGAGGGACACCCCCTGAGGGTGGGCTCGCCTCACCCCACCCAAGGGAGAAAGAGAGAGAGAGAGAGACTAGAGGGGTCACACCGGTCTCCTCTTCAGCCGTGCTCAGAAGGGGGCAGAGGTTGGTGTGGGATCAGACTAAAACGGAAGAATTTTAAAACCGGCACAGGGTATCAAAGCTGGTTTTGAGCCGTGGTGACGCAGTGGTTAAGAGTGCAGGCTGACTCTGTCCACTGCCAGGAGTTCGATCCTGACCGGCTCAAGGTTGACTCAGCCCTCCGTCCTTCTCAGCTCAGTCAAATGAGGACGTGGATTGTTGTGGGCAAGAGGCTGACTCTGGAAAGTGCTATAAAGCAGAGAGGGCTATGAGGCATTGTGGAGCGGCATAGAAGTTTAAGGGCTGTTGCTATTGCTAACTTCCTGCATTTCATGTTTTGTCCTTACTTTGCTTTGGGTGAAGTTTTTCTCCCTAACGGCAGAGTAAAAATCTAGGGAACTTTGTCCCAAGGCCTTTTCTCCATATGGGCACTACATATCCCATACCGTGAAGCACATGGACCCCAGAGCCCATCAGGTCCCACAGGGAGCTTCTTTTCTGCGGTGGGGGGTGGGGGGAGCTCATCTTGCAGAAGGTCTGCACTGGGCCTTCAGCCTGGCTCCCCCGGGCAGCTCCGGGCAGCGCTGCTTGCTTTGACAGTCTTATTTTGGCAGCCAGTTTGGGGGCCAAAGGTGCCGCCAGGCTCAAGCACTTGATGGTGACCCCAGGCTCAAGCTTGGGGGGTGGCATTTGGAGGGCGAATTGCTGGAAGCCACCTTCCAGCAATTGGGTTAGGCAGGTCCTGGCAGGGCAGAGAAATTGGGGTTTGCAGGGAGGGTTTTGCTGGCCGGGCACAGAGACAGTGCTGGCCCTGGTCCCACTTTCCTCCCCGAGTGGAATTGGGGGTGTCTGCGGGGAAGAGAACCGTAACCATTTGTAAAAGGAACCAGCAGCGTTTCCGGTGGCCTGATGGCCAGACTTTCTGCTCCCCCTTTCTCTGCTGTCTGTAGGAAGAGACCTCGAGAACCCCAAAACTTTTGCATCCTTTGAGGAGCTGTTTGATTATCCCACCTGGTGCTCGAGCTTGCTGCTTGGCTGACACACACACCCCCAGTCCCTAGATCTTTGAGGCCTAGGAAGCCCAAAAGAGCTGTGAGGCAGCCCTGTCGTGGGGGCAACATGTGCAAAGGAGCAGGATACGGGTGGGGGTCTTTTTCCTCTTGTTCTGTTCCTTTTAGGGGGGTATGGCAATGGGTAAAAGGGGGGAGCTGAGAGAGAGAGAGACTGACCAAAGTCCCGTCCCCCCCTTAGACTCAAACCTGGCTCTCCCAGCCCCCATCCCACCCCCAGCCAGTAGCTGGCCCTGTTTTGGTGCCCACTGGAGGTGAGCAGCTCCGAGGCTGTCCTTCCAGGGGGGGCTTTAGAGACCCTCCAGGTGAGCATGCCAGAGCCCTGCAGGGAAGCCCCAGGGGCCCCGCCCACCCTTTGAGGCACCCCAGGGGCCGAGCTGGCTGGCACAGGCTTTTCCTTGCTCTGTGCCGGTTGGCTTTGGGTTCTGGCGGAGGGGTGCAGGAAGGGTTGGGGGCTTCCCAAGAGGTCCTTGCTCTGGCCTGGGAAAGAAGGGAGGGGGCTGCAGGTCAGGCTGAGAGACTTCTGCTAGTTGGGCAGTGCTGGGGGCCCCGTGTGTGGTGTAGGCCTGGCAGCTGGCGAGCAGGTCGGTGGCTGGTGTGGGGACGGCGAGGTGGCGGTGGTGGTGGTGGCCTCAAATGAGGGGAACACGTTGACCTTGTCCCTTTCTCTCTCTCTCCCTCCCCCCGCCCCTCCCCCCACTGCCTTCCTGTAGCTTTACGTTTCTGCCATGTAAGTAACTGACTCTGAGCCACTCTGGCTGTGCTAGACGGGGGTCAGCGGCACCTCCCGCCCATCCCCACAGGATGGTGGATTGGGCGCCTTGCACAGCCCATCTCCTCCCTCGCTTGGCCGGCTGCTCTGAGCCAGCACCCCCACCCCCATGTAGGCGGGGTGCCCACCTTCCCCACAGCCCTGGTCTCTGCCATGAGCCCCTCCTGTGGAGAGGGGAGCCGGGGGAATGCCATCTGCAGTGGGGGCTGGTGATGTCAGGCGTGCCAGGATGGCCAAATCGGGGGGGGCGGGGGAGATGGAGGGAGAGGAAGAAGCTAAGCGGATGCTGTCTTGCCCAGGCCTGATGCCTCCTCTACCCTGAACCTGCCTGGCCAGGGGTGGGCTCCCTTGGCAGGGGCTAAGCCCAAGCTTGCTCCTTGTGATGCCTGGTGCCCCTTGTGGGCCATGGGGGGGGTGTTGGTATCACTGAGGGATGCGAGGGGCTCCCCTATCCTTTTGGGAGGGCTCATGGCTTCTCTTCTTACCAAGGGAGTGGCCCCTGGTCTTTCTCTTATGGGCTGAGGGTCCGAGACCCGCAAGAGCCCCTTTTCCTAGCTTCTCATAGTGACCCTGCGAGCTGCCTCTGCTATACCTCCCCCCCACCCTCCTTTTGCTCCCCACTTGGTTTGGTGTCTCCCTCTCCTCCCCAAGTTCCCTGGTGAGGGTTGGGGGTCCCAGCAAGCCCCTCTGGAGGAGGGCTAGCAAGGGGGCTTGCTTGGCACCCTGGGGCTTTCCTCGGGCCAATTCCACCTCCCCCCCCACCGCCTCTCCCTCCTTTGGGGAGACTGATTCCAGGAGAAAAGCTGCCGGACGGGGGCTGATCCTCCTCTCCCCTCTGCCCCCCTGCAGTTACGAGAAGCGGCTGTACTGAGGACAACTTCCAGAGCAGCGGCCAGTGACCGCTCGGGCCCCCCTGCCAGGGGCCACTGCTGAAGCCCACCAGCGCACCCACCTCTTCTCTCGCCCCTGGTTTGGCTGTGGCCCAAGACTTGCACTTCGGGCTGCCCTGCTGGTGGCACATCAGGCCTCTCACCCGGCGCTGGGGCCGTCGCCGACTCCACTGGCTGCTCAGAATTGGGGGTGGGGTGGGATGGATGCCCCTCTTGGCCTTTCCCCTAGTGCCTGGCCTCCAGCCTGCAGGTGGGGGCCTTGGCCGGTCTCCTGGTCTCCCCCTCCTGGGTGCAGCCTCTCGCCAAGCAGGTACAGCTGGACCCAGCCTCCAGGGCCTCGGGGATGGCCCTTGGATAGCAGCCAGGGAGGAGTTGCTGCCCTCCCACTGGTGTGGGGAGGAAGGGGGTGGGCCCAGTTGGAAGGAGCTGCAAGGGACCAAATCCAGCTGCAAAGGTGTGGGGGCAGCCTCTGTCCAAACCCTTCTGGCCAGCCCCCGGCCCTCTTGTGCTGGCTCTCCAGCTCCCACTGCAGCCGCCTCCGTGCTTCTCTGGGGAAGAGGATCTTGGCTATGAGGGGGGGGCAGCTTTCACTCCACCCCACCTGGGATTCCCTCCCAATGCGGTAATCTTTGCGCATGCCAGGGCCCCACGTCGTGTCCTGTATTATTCGTAAATAAAAGCAGCAGAGTGTCATTTCAATGGCTCTGCTGGTTCTTCTGCTGGAATTGGGCTGGGAGGGGGGGAAGAAATGGGGTGGGGGACCAAGAGTTAGAGGCTTTAGCCCCGACTCTTGGCCAGATCTCTCTCTCTCACACACACACACACACACAGACGGAGCCCCTTGCTGCATTCAGCTGGGCTGCCAGGGATAGGGCCTTTGGGGCCCCCATCCGACCTTCCCCCAGCCCAGCATTTGAGTTGATTCATCCCCCCTCTTCCGAATGAAGCCCTTGGTGGAGCGGGGGGGGGGGGCTTTTCAGAATCTCCTCAATCCGTTTGGATGGTTCGTGTTTTCCTAGGGCCGCCTCCAGTTCTCCATTGGGATAGGGCAATAGGCGCAGAGGGAATACAGTCAGTCTTTGACTTACAACAATTCATTTAGTGACCAAGGTTACAACAGCACTGAAAAAATGGGAGGAGAAATGCAAGTCCGAGTCATAATGACCCCCCCACACATTGGGACTCCCCCCCCCAAGTTAGGACACGGCAGGCCCCACGGATGCTCTTTCGGGGAGAAGCTCTCGGATTGCTTCAGAACCTGACAGCCCCCTCCCCAAATTCCCTCCCAGGGACCTCTATGCCACCCCTGGACGGAAGGGCAGTTAAGACCGCCAACTTTCCACCTTCAGGACTGCAGCATCCTCAGCCTGCCCAGCTCTTGTCCCCCCCGGCCAGGCTAGCCCCGTTTCTAGAGAGGCCAGCTTGGGGAAGCCGGACCTCAGCAGCCCCCCAGGTGGCCGACCCCAACCTGGCCAGCGCCCTCCAGTCCCATCCTCTGGGCGAGTGAGACGCAGGCAGGAGAAAAAGGCCTTTTCCTCCTGCCTGAATCGGACGGGTTGGGTGGCACTCCGGGCTGTGGGAATTCAGCCTGGTTGGGCCAGCAGTGGCTCAACAGGTGGCAGGAACTAAATCTGAGCATTGGCATTTTGGGGAAAAGCAACCTGGCTGCTACCAACCTCACCTCTACAGTTTAACCTGCCTTGTCCAAACATTACTGGGGGATGGGGGGGGAAGGTGACAAAGGCTGTCCTTTGCCCGTTGGGCCCTGAGGCTGTGCCGGACAAGGCGGGCGCCCAGCTGTTCATGTGAAAGGCCTCAAAGGTGGGTACTCGTGGGGTAGGGGAGGCTCTGAGCTCTAAAAGGGGCGGGACCAGTAGAGGAGCCCTTCCCCCTCCAAGCACAAAGACCAGGGAGCCTCTCCATAAAATCCTTTTATTAAAATTCCAGAGCTTCGGTTCCCTTCTGGGGAAGGAGGGAGGATTTGGATTTTCTCCCCCCACCCTCCAAAGAACAGAGTCACCCGCTCTTTTTGCTGGCTTTGAAGATTGGGAAGGGGGGGGTCATTTCAGTGCGACCTTGGCTGGCCCCCAGCAAGGAGGGGATGGGGAAGGGGCAACCCTTTTCGCTAGCAGGAGGGGAGGGGGTGGCTGTGCAACGGCAGAACCCCGACCCGTTGCTTCTGTTCCCACAACACGCTTAAGTGAGTCCGCTGAAGACCCAGCATCTGTGTTTGCACAGGGAGTAGCTCGGTGAGTTTTAGAAACCGGCCCTTTGTGCAGAGGCAGAATGATGTGGGAAGAGGCAAAGTGCGCCTCCCGCTTGGCCAGAGACCCCTGCCTATCTGTCCCTCACAAGCTGGGCACCCACCCGTAGCAGACCCACAGTGAGCTCAGATCCGAGGCTGGGGCAGGCGTCCATCCTGGGGGTTCCAGGGGGTTATAAATCTATGGTGTCGCTGCCAACACTGACAGCATCGGCCTGCCGGCTAACATCCACCGGCTCCTGTATGCAGGATGCATCCTCTCTGAGCTGCCCCACCGAGGCCAGGGACTCCTGGTAGTGCTCAGGCGGGCCTCCGGGTGGGTCTCTGGCAGCCGGAGAAGCTGGGAGCGAGCCTGCATGGCTTGGGGAAGGCCCCGCAGCACTCCTGCTGGGGCTGGAGAGGGAGGAGGGCCAGGTGGCGGCCCCATGGGGTTGCAGAGCAGCCACCCCGTCGTCCTGCGGCTGAACCAGGGCCAGCTCCAGGCAGGAAACGGCGTGGGGCAGGTGGTGCTCGGTGGGCGAGACCAGTGAGAGGATGCTGGAGGCGGAGAAGGCACCGCTACCCTGGAGGAGCCCTTCGCTGGACAGTGCCTCGTCGATGCTACGGCGCAGGTCGATGGGCGAGGGCGGCTGGAAGTCGGCGGTGGGATCCGTTGCCTCCACAGCCAGGCTGAGGACCGACCAGGTGGGCGCAGCGCAGCGGGCATCAAGGGGCCCCTCTGTGGGCACAGCGCACAGCGGGAGGTAGTCAGACTGGCTGCGGACCACCGTGTCGCCGCACACAGCCAGTTTCTCATGCTGGGACAGCGCCCAGTGGAGGCTGCTGGGCAGCACTGGGGCTTTGGCAGCGGCCTGGCCTGAATGGAAGGCCAGGCGGCGGCAGCAGGCAGTGGCAGAGCAGCCGCAGGTGAGGTAGAGGCCAAAGGCGGCCAGTGGCAGCCCCACGCCTGCCTCACACAGCCGGCACGAGAGCTGCAGTGCCCACCAGGGCCAGGGCCCAAAGAGTGCCGGGCTAAGCCCGTAGCCCAGCACGTGCAGCACTGAGTAGGTGTGAAGGCCGGCACTCAGCAGCCCGAAGGCAGCGGCAGGTGAGGCGGCGCGGGCAGCGCGGCTCCACCGGCGGCCGCTGGCAAAGGAGCCCTGGCAGGCTGGCAGCGGCGGGGCATTCCGGAGGTCGTAGATCTGGGCCACTTCCCCCCGCACCAAGCAGGAGCAGCCCAGCAGGGTGGCCGAAAGCAGCGCAGCCAGGAGTGCAAAGAGCCCCCGCGAGGCCAGCAGCAGCACTGGCAGCCGCTCGGCAGCCAAGACGGCGCCTGCAGCTGCTGAGAAGTGACCCAACAGCAGCAGGGCCAGAAGGCAGGGTGGGCGGAGGCCAGGGTGTGCTGAGAGCTTGGACCGCGGGCGCCGCAAGAGCAGCAGCAGGGCAGCGGCCAGAGCCGAGGTCAGGCAGGGCAGCGGAAGGTCACGCAACAGCCGCACCGCCAGCGCAGGGAGCCGCTCCGGATGCCGCCCGTCAGCCTGGCCAAAGAGTAGCCCGGCCCGGGCACTGCCAGCCCCCAGTAGCAGCAGGTGAAGCAGGCCCAGTAGGCGGCCCTCGGGGGCAGCCAGGCGGCGGCGGCAGGGCAGAGCCAGCAGGGCCAGCAGGGCCAGTGCTGCCAGCAGGGCGAAGAGGGTGCCAGCACCGTAGACATGACCTTCCCAGGCTGGCCCCCATGCAGCCAGCGCCGCCATCCAGTCCGAGTGCAGGGGCACAAAGAGGGGCCCACCAGGCAGCAGCTGGGGTGTGCCGGGTTCTGGCCGAGGGGAGCCGCAGGTGTCGGGCCGGTCGGGCAGGCAGGCGGGCAGCGCCACGAATGCCTCCTCACTGCCCGGCGGGGCTGTGGGGCTGCCACTGGACTCCGATGGTCCTGGGGAGAGAAGACAGGAGGGAGGGTTAAGCCGGGACGGGAAGGGCTGCTCCTGCCCCGATGGCAGCCGATGACAAGCAACCTTCCCTCTGTCTTCCTAGGTCTGGCCTGCCCTCTGAGGGCACATCCGAGGTCCAGAAAATGTGCACGAACTGCATGGTATGGGCGAGGCTGGCAATGGGGCTTCTCTTCCCTCGTTATTCAGATGTTAATTAATTGAAACAGTTCTTTGCTTCCTTCGGTTTCCTGATTCTCAGCAGCTTCATGCCAAAGTGCCCTGCCCCTTTGCACCTGCAACACCACCACAGGCCCGTTGCCACCCTTCTGTCCTCCAGACTTCCGGGCTCTCCTAGCTTGGCTGCCACTCAGCAGCCACCCTTTTTCTCCTGAGGTATGGGGCAGTAGTGGTTTTCACTTACCTTCGCTATCGGTTCGGAACTGTGAGCGCGCGCATGTGCACCCGCTCACTTTGCTCACGCGCAGTGCTTCTGTGCATGGGAGAACCTTCTGCACATGCACAGAGCATCCGTGATGATGTCCAGGCAGTGGGTGGAGCCTCCCGCCGCTACCGGTTCACCTGAACTGGGGTGAACCGGTAGAAGCCCACCTCTGGTGTGGGGAGGGGGACCCAAGGCTGGGAGAAGCTGCCTTGGGCTGCCCAAGGAACAGGGAGGTGCTCCAACCCAGTCACGATGTAAGCACTGCAGCCCCAGGACCAGAAGCAGCCAGACTGACAGATCACTAGTGAGCAGGAGGACTGGGGAGGGGGGGCTCCTCCTGCTCCCGCCCCCTCCAGGGCTGCCATCCATCAGCTGGGCTGAAGCACCCGGAAGAGAAGCGGGTGAGCAGAAAGGAAACACCCTGAGGAAGATCCACTTTGGGGGCTGCACAGTAAAGGCAGCGGCACTGCTGGTGACCCAGAAATAGAAGGAGCAGGCAAAAGAGCAGGCCTCCCTGCAGGCAATGGCCAAAGGCTTGGCTGTGCAAAACTCCCGGTGAGTGGAAGCCACTGAGAACCCTCTGTTAATGACGCAGGCGCTTAGGATTCTGGGGGAGGCACTGCAGGATAGCAGTCTCTTTTCCTGCCATGCAGGGCTGTATACATTGGATTAGGATGATGATAGATAGATAGATAGATAGATAGATAGATAGATAGATAGATAGATAGATAGATGGATGGATGAGAGAGAGGGAGAGGGAGAAAATAAGTAAGAGACAATAGCAATAGCCCTTATATACTGTTTAGAGCTCTCTCTACACAATTTACAGAGTCGGCCTGCCCTCAACAATCCAAGTCCTCATTTTACAGACCTTGGAAGGATGGAAGGCTGAGTCAACCTTGAGCTGCTCAGAATTGAACTCCTGAACAGAACAAGGCTGGCTTCAGTTAAGTGTGTTGTGCGAATGCCACCAAACCCATTTTCCTTCTGCAGTTTAAGAGATTGTAAGAAAAAAAAGAAGCAGGAGAGGCGAAACACCCCCCCCCCCATTTCCCTTTTCCTTTCCCCAGAAATGCTTGTTGCCCAAATCGCATGAACCAGCAGCTCCCACGTGCCGTGGCTTTTGGGCATTGAGGGCCCGGGTACAAGGCAGGGGGGATGGGGGACCTTCCCGAGAGAAACCCCCCCAATCTACATGAATATAAACGCGGGAGGAGGGGAAGCCCATTCACCCTTGCAAGATGATGTTACCGCAAGCAGTCCTTGAAGTACAACCGTTATTGAGGCCACAATTACAATCGCAAGCCACAACGGTCATTAAGCAGGTCATCATATGACTGTCCTCGGTTTTACCACGGTTTTTTTGCAATGGCGGTTAAGCGGATGCCAGGGCTAGAAAGCAAAGGCGGCCTTTTTAAGCGAGCCCATCGTTCCCTATGGGCCGTTCATTGACGGAGACCGGAAGCTAACAGTGGTTTCCGGGAAAAACATCCTAAATTGTGGTCACGTGACTATGGGTCGCCACAAACGCCATAAACACCTGCCGGTTGCCCAGTGACCCAAATGTGGTCACATGATCACAGGGGAGAGGAGAGGATCGTAAATCTAGGCAGTCCTTGACTTAACGACCACAACTGAGCCCAAAATTTCCTTTGTTAAGATAAGTGAGTTTTGCTCCACTTTATGACCTTTCTTCCCCAAGATATTAAGTGAATCACTGCAGTGCTTCAATCAGTAACATGGTTGTTAAGTGAATACAATGGCTTCCCCATTGACTTGGCTTCCCAGAAGGTCACAAAAGGGGATCACGTGACTCCAGGCCACCACAACTGTCATAAATGTGAGCCAGTGGCTGAGCATCTGAATTTTGATCATGTGACCTCAGCGATGCTGCAACGGTCGTCGTGAAGTTCTTTTTCCAATGCTGTTGTAATGTCGAAAGGTCATTAAACAAAATGTCGTAAGTCAAGGACTACCTGTACTTTGCATACAGGTTTATCTCCCTAGAAGGGGGTCTTCCCTGGAGCCTCTTCCCTGGTCTGATTTGCCTGGTGGGGCTGGCAGGGTCTCTGCGGTCTCCTGCCTTTGACGGGGTTGAGCCAGAGGACCTCTGGGTTCCTTCATCGCCAGCTCTACCGTCACTGCAGGGGACGAACAGGTGAGCCAACCTGACAAAGGGACCGGCTCTTGTGAAGGCTGCTGCCCCCTCTTGGGGCTTTTGTAAAAGGGTGACGGAACCGGCGGGGTGGGATCGAGAGCCATCTGGAGGGACGCCCAGGCTGCCCTCTCTGTGCCCTCCAGGGTGCCGCATCTTCCACTTCGCTCCAATATCGCAATAGTGCGCCTGGGCAGCATCCTTCCCCGTTTCGGGAGAGACTCCTGGTTTGGCCGAGGCCCCTGGCTGAGAGGCCCATCCAGCCTCCTTTGCCGGCTCTCCGAAGGGAGAAACATGGTTTGGACGCTCAGATCTCCTGAAGCCACCTCCGGCCTTCAAGAGCTCAGCCTCAGGACGCTCGTCCTGGGCAGCAGCCGGCCAGGGAGATGAGATCCAGCAGGGACCGTCCCAGGCCAGTAGCTCCTCTGGCATTAAGTGAGTGCCACGTAAAGGATGGAGAGGCTGGAGCCAAGGAATCTTCCCAGCTACCTTCAGGTGGCAGGTCAGCCGGGAGGCTTCCAAGAGGAGACTGGACGGCCATTTGTCCAGAATGGTGTGTAGGGCCTCCTGTTTGAACAGGGGGTTGGACTACTAGAAGACCTCCAAGGTCCCTTATTGGGAGATGGGGGGAAGCAGAACAAGGGGCCCACCCAGGGCCATCTGCAGAAGCCCAAGGGCCCTCAAAAGCATCCAGCCCCCCCCCCAGATTTGAGGGCAAAGCAAACCCTCCGTTATTGGAACAGATGCCCTGGAGTGGACAGGCAGAAGAGGAGGGCCACCCTAAAATGCCTTCCGGCCTCCCTCCGGTTGGCCTGAGAATTCCACACCAGCCAGCCAAATGGGGAAAGCTCGGCTCTCCCCAAGGACAAGTCCACGCTTATCTCTGTGGCTGCCAGTGGCTGCATCAGCACAGCCTAACTGAGGAGACATGGCAAATTTGGAAAACCACTCCACCTTTTCTGTGGTTACCTGCCCCTCCCTCTACAAAATTAGGAAAGGGGGCTGGGGGGCAGAGAAGATGGCAAGGATAGTCCAATGCTCCCTGCTGTGATTCAGCCCTATTCCTTCCCCATCAGCTGGACAGAAACCGCCCCACCTGGACCAGCCTGTGCTGACGGGCAGGTGCCCATTTCTTGGGCCCATCCTTTGAGGTTTCAGGGGGAGAGATGTGACTAATTTCTAGGGCAGGTATCCAAAATGCCACTATGAGCCACACGGAGGGTAGAGGAAGGGTCCTAAGGCAGGCAGGCAGAACAAGGCTCCCTTCTGTCCCCCCAGCCTGCTGCCAAGTGACAGAGATGGGCACCAAGAGCAGTGACTTGCAGGAGCCGGGCATCATGGCGGACCCAGGGCAAGGCATTTCCTAAACAAGAAACAGAGATGGCTTCCACATGAAAGCAAAATATTTTTATTCTCTCATTAGCGCTAAACACACTATCCTCCCCGCACCGGCCATGCTGCTTGCTGCCAGGGCGGTGCTGGCAAAGCCATGGGGGGGGCACCTCTCAGCCCTTACAGCTTGCAGAGGGGCAAGGGCTTGACCAGGCAGCTCTCGATGTACTCGAAGACGGTGTAAGGGTCCTGGTCGGCGTTGAGGCAGATGGAGTCCTCGTAGTGCTCCTCCAGGTCGGGCAGCTGGTGGCTGTAGATGTCCGTCTTCCGCTCCACCTGGAGGGGGTTGTCCTTGGGGTGGCGGCGCAGGCGCTGGTGGACTTCCTCCTCCACAGGTGGCTTGTAGATGGTGTGGTATCTCTCCCCGGTGACAGGGTCGGTGGCACGCTGGCAGAGGCGCTGCAGCCCCACCTCGGTGGGCAGGTTGAGGAAGAAGACTCGGTTGGGCTCGACGCCAATCTGCTGGAAGAGCAGCGCCTGGTCCACATCTCGAGGGAAGCCGTGGAGCACCCAGCCGTAGCTGCGGCAGTCGGCCTGTTCCAGCCGCTCCTGGAGGACGTGCAAAGCGATGTTGTCGTTCACGGGGTACCCCCTTTCAAAAAAGGGCTTGATGAATTCGCCCACGCCCATGTTCCCGGCCATTTTCTCCCGCAGGAGGTCCCCGAAGGCAATGTTGACCACCCCGTATTTCTGGGAGAGCAGAGCTGCCTGCAGGCTTTTGCCGCTGCCCGGGGGCCCCAGGAGCAAAATGCGGGGAGTGAAGGGGGCGTTGGAGCGTGGACGGCTCTGTACAAAATTTAGTGCTTGGGCAAAGACGTCAACACAGGGCTGGTCGGCATTGATAGCCTTGTGGCAATCCTGGTAGGTCTGGATGATGCCAGGCATGTTGCGGTGGTTCTCCAGAAGCCGCCGAGCAGTGGCTTGCTCTGAGGTGTCTTCCGGCTTCACCAAGCGCTTCTGTACGGTGAAGTCGACTGGCCAGTCAAAGGTGGTGTGGTAGACCTCCTGGGTGAAGGGGTCCACACGCTTCCCCAGGTTCCTCTCGATTAGCACGGTGTCTGGGGCGTAAAGGACCACGAGGTGCCGGGGGAGGACACCCAGGGTCTGGAGCTCCAGGGCCTGCTTCCTGGTCTGGGGGAAGCCATCCACCACCCACCCCAAGGTCTCACAGTCCACATCACTCATGCGTTCCTGCAGAAGATGAACCCATAGCTCATCGGGGATCTTCTCCCCACGTGCTTGGTACGCCGCGGCCTCCCTGGCCCTCTTCAGCAGCTTGCTACACACGAGCTCCTTGGGGCAAAGATACGTTGCACTGAGGTGCTTACAAATCCAGCGGGCGATGGTGGTCTTCCCAGAAGCCGGGGGCCCCACAATGAAGACCTTGGGCACCTCCTCATTGTTCTTCTTGAGATGTTCTATCATGAAGTCAATGGGGTTGGCCGGCCGGGACACGAGGAGAGCTTCCACCAGGCCCTGCATGACCTGGAAAATATTGTGCTTTTCAGCATAGATCCCCATCTCGGGGGGGATCTGGTGGGGCTTGCTGGTAGCATCCATCTCTAAGGGTTGGAGAGTGCCCAGTAAAGCAGGTTCTTAAACAGACTTTGCGTTCCGAGGTTGCCAGGCGCTTCTGATGATGGAAGCAGCCCGTAGAACCTTCAGTCACATCTGTCCAGTTGAGTCAGAGAACATTCCCCTCACCCATGGGAGTGGCCCCCACCAAGAGAGCCCAGGGAACTTGAGGGAGACCTTAGGGGACCTTCCTCCCTTGAAGGTCACCTAAGAGGCCAGAGCAAGGACAATCCCGCTCAGCTGCAAATATTCTGCTCTGCCTCATCCTCCACATTTTTCACTTTTGCTTCCCGGCACTCAAGAAGCCTCTGCTCAGAAGAAGACAAACGCCCGGCTGCCTAGAAGCTTCTCCTCCCCTTGGAGCAGCCACGTAGGGGCTGCCATCCTCCATCAGGATGCTCACGAGACAGCTCCTACCTGCAGTGACAGGGTTGCAGGTGGCACTCCTCTGCCAGCTCTAGGCACCTAAGGTGGCACCGGCTGCCTGTTTTGAAGTTGATGTCCCTTGGCACCCATCATCCAGGATGAGGAGGGCTCTTGTGGAGCTCAGGAGAAGGGCAGCTGCTTCCTTCGGTGGGTGACATGTGCCCGCTTGACTGTTAGGAGGCTGCATGCCAGGTGGTGCCTCACTTGCTATTTCCTTGGACCAGGCTATTTTCATGGGTTGTGGGTTCTTATATCGCCTTGGCATGTATTGTTGTTTAAAAAAAAAAGCCTCTGATGAGGTGGGTGGCGTAAGCGACCGGCGACCGGGTCGGGGACTGGTTTGGGGGCGTGGCCAGCCAATGTTATTACTGGTTCTCCAAACTACTACAAATTTTTACTACCGGTTCTTGTGAACCGGTGCGAACCAGGAGCAACCCACCACTGAACCCACCCCACTCGTGTGTTGTTGCATAGAAGGGCCGCAACAATCCAGGGGCACGAAACCCCAGAACCTCTTGAGCCTCACGCTTGAGAATTCAGATCCAGCATTCTGAAGCTTTCAAATTCTGCTCTCACCTGAAGCCCCCCGGGGGATTCTGTGCTGCCTGGACATTCTTCCTGAGGAAATTCCTGCATGGCCAGCAGCCCCCCCCCTCCATCCCCCTCCCCCAACTACGAGGTGCAAAGCCCCTGAGGGGCAGGAAATCAAGGTGCATTTGCTTGGCTACCCAGCAAAATCTTCTTACAATGGTTCTTGGAAATGTAAAAAGCATGAAGGGACATTTTGTCATGTAGTTATGAAAAATCAATGATGATCCAGAGTTTTAAAAACTGGCCAGCAGAATTCCTCTTCCTAGGACTTTCGGACAGTCAGTCAGAAGAGGCAACGCCTGGATGCAGCCAGGTTATTATGTGCAAAAAGTCAGAAGGCAAAAAATACCCACAATAGAGGAATGGAGGGTGAAGAACTTGCAGAAATGGTTAAATTGACCTCTGTCTTTATTTTTATAACAGACCAGGAGCCTTTTACGGACTTTTTGCTAAAAATGAGTAAAAATGAACTTGCAGTTTGTGGAATTGCTGAAGAATAAAAATTGAATACGGGAGAAGGACCCACATTATTAATTCAGAACCAAGGAAGGGGCTGTAAGCATGTCTGTAACTGCTTTAAAGAAGATCAGAACTTCCTTCTTTAACGGTTAATTTTTTCCTTTGCTTTCTATTGTCTTCTTTCCTTCCTTCCTCCCTTCCTTCCTACCTACCATTATCTCCTGTATCTTTTGACTTTGGAAAAAAATGTTTGAATTGAAATTATTTTTAAAAATCTCAGCAAATCTGAAGACCACTTTTGGGAAGCCTCCCTGATATTTGAAGTCACCCAAGGTCTGATTTCCAGGCCAAGGAAGGTTTCCAGGGAGCCCCTGGAGGAAGAGGGCCCCTGGGGGTGCCCCAGAGGCCCCTTGGGTGATCCACCATCCAAGGGGGAGACCAACCTCGCTACCATCTCCCATCTGGGGTCCTGCTGTGTTGCTGGAGAACTTCCTTGACCAGCCCCCCCCCCCCCCTTCCCCATCCCGGAGCCTCTTCCTCCAAGCAGGGCAAGACTGACAGCCAGGAGGAGTCCCCCAAAAGAAGCAAAGGGGGGGGGGGGGGGGGGGGGGCCGCCCCCCCCCCCCCAGTTATGCTGTTACCTGGCTCCGGGGTCCCTTCAGCAGTGGAGAGGAGGTCCTCGGGTTCTTCCTCGGGGCTTCCCGTGACATTCCACTCTGGGGGCTTCCACAGCTCAGGAGGCAGAGTGAAGCCAAACAGACCTGTCAAAGGGCCAAGGCGGGGCCGGGATGAGAAGGGGCCTGGGGTCCTCCCTCCCGGGGTGCTTGGCCAGAGACTCTGCCCACTTCTTCTCCCTCTCGTCAAGACCTTCCGGGGCCTGGTGGGGGTCCAGCCATTCCCGCAGGGACCCTCGCTGGCAGCCCCAAAGCTGGATCTGGCGGGCGCCGCCTCTCGGCCTCTCCCCCCCCCCGCGGTCTTCAGCAATACTCACCGGGCCCCCCTCCTTGGCCGGCCATCCCCAAGGCGTCGGCCAGGACAGGGAGGAGACTGCCGCCGCCGCCGCCGCCGAGCCCCGCGCCCGGCTCCTGGCCCAGCCCGGCGCTCAGGCCGATGTCCACCTGGAACTCGAGCTCGCTGCTGTGCTCCCGTGGCCGGAGGGGGGTCGCGGAGGGCCGGGGAGCCGCAGGGGCGCGTGGCGAGGAGGAGCCATTGCTCGCGCCGGCCGTGGGACCAGCGAGCGGCTCTTCAGCCGGCCCGGCGCCCGCGGAGCTTCCCGCGGCCCCGGCTGGGGACTGAGCGGAGGCGTCCGGCTGGCCGCGGGGCGGGGGCGGCCTGGTGGCGGCTCTCCCGGGCCCTTCGGGGGGCTGCCCCTTCCCCTGGCTGCGCACCTTCACCTGGACGTTGAGCCCCAGGTTCAGGCGCAAGGCGGGGGCTTCGCTGTGGCTGGGCAGCAGGGGGGAGGTCGCCGGAGGGCCGGGGGAGGGGCCGGGGCTCTGCGGGTCCGGCCCGGACTCATTCTGGGCGGGGGGCGGGGGCATGGGCGAGCCCGGCGGCGGGGACAGGCCCAGCAGCAGCAGCAGCAGGAAGCCCCACATTGGCTTCGGTGTGAGTCTCGCCGCCGGCAGGAAGCACCTGGGGAGGGAAGGGGAGAAAGTCAGGCGGAGCTGAGGTCCCCGAGGAAGCGTCGGCTATCTAGTCGTCTTCCAAGTCCTTGCCTGGGTAGAAGCTCCTTCTGGAGAGCGAGGAGGGGGCCCACCGACTCTGCTCCTCTGGACTCAGAGCCAGCAGCCGCCCCAAATGCCACCTGGAGTTGTGGCTCCTTCCTTCCCCAGGGGTTCACTTTGCCCCGTGTTGCTCGTGGGAAGGTTCCACCCAACTTCCGACAGAGCAAGGACGGTCCCCAGGACCTCAGCCAGGGAGGGAAGACTTAAATCCTCTCCTGCCCATGTTTCCTCCTGATAAATGCACCCCACACATTTTATGCACATTTGAAAACCTGCAAGTCAAATGCAAAACCAGCCCACAGATGAGATGAAATAATGACAGTTAGCCTGCTCAGCACAATGGGAATCCTCAAAATTGAGCCCCGTCCCAGGGCTACGGGCGGAGGAGCCTCTCTGGCGGCCATCACCACAAGGAAGGCGCTGCAGACGCCGCCTTCCCCTGGCCAGCAACGGGCAAATGGGCAAGGACCAGGCCTGGGTGGCACTCGGTGCACTGGGCAAGCGGCGCTAGTGAGCAACGCAAAAGGAATGAAACCAGGACACAAATTGGGGCTGTGGAGCAGGAGGAGGCGGAGGAGATGCAGGGAGGCAGCCAGCGAACAAGCGGGTCGAGATCTTACACCAATAGCAAACACGTAGGAAGCGTAGGGGCTCTGCACACCCGCAAGAGAAATGCCATTCCCAGGTCAAAACCTGTGTCAGCAACATCCTACAGGCACAGCAGCATGGCGGATCTTCCCCTCGTCCAACTTCTGGCAATTGTACACCTGTCACCTGAAGCACCTCAAGGTGAGCCATTTTGGTCTGACAAAACCCCCAAGTTGCCCCCCCTCCGGCTGCTCTCACACAGCAGGATCCTATTCTGCAAGGGGGCCGATGCTCAGGGCCACTTTGGGACGGAGGGAGGGAGGGAGGGAGGGAGGGAGGGCGTCCACCCCGAAGCCAGGCTGCTCTCACCTGGCCAGAGAAACCTCCTCCTCCTAGAGCAGAGGTGGCGAACCTTTTACTTACTAAGTGCCAAGCAGGAACACGCTTCACGCCCTGTGCATGCTCACTTGCCATCCGTGGTAACACGCGGCCCCTCCCCATGTGCTGTGCGCACAACCGCACCATCTGCACATGCACAAAGGCTTTAGCACTAGCGCACTAGCACCTGCTGCGCATGCAACCGCACCATATCAGCATGCGCACAGCTTTTGCATGCGCAATGCATGTGCGCAAACACTGTGCATGTGTGCACAATTGCACATGCGTGCGCAAATATGCTGCATGCGCAGGAGAGCTTCGAAGACCAGCTGGGTCCCCTGAATTGCACGCAGGGGCTCCAGAGGCCTGGACACCAGCTGGGGCGCGCGCATGCGCAGTTTCGGGTGAGCTTGGCAACGGCTCGTGTGCCATAGGTTCGCCAACATGGTTCTAGAGCAAGGGGCAGGCCCCCAGAGCCCCTTGTGTCCCCCAGCACTGGGGGACCCAGGTGAGCTGTCAGAGGAGATCCTGCAAGCCCAACAGGGACGCAGCCCATGTGAGAAACGTGACAAAAAGACGGGCAGAGCGAGAGAGACATGAGAAGTGACACTTCCGGCTGGGGCGTCCAGAGCAGCTCCTCCAGCAAGGGGAGATGAGGCGTGAATTCTCCCTGAGCCTGGCACGTGCCCTCCCTGCTGGAGGGAGCCGCTTTGTGACAGCATTTTGCAACTGGGATGAAGTGAGCTGAGAGGGGGAAGACCACCCACCAAGGGGGCCAAGGCCACCCCGGCAGCCTGCAACGGCCTGGGTCAGAGTGGCTGGGAGCTTGGGGGAAGAACTGAGCATCATGCCAGTTGGAAAAGGCCATGGGAGGAAGTGCCAGCCTCTGGCGCCCCATATGTGGCTCCCCAGAGAGACCCTCCGGCCCTTCTTGGAGAGCGTCGACCGAGATGCCGGCCAGGAGCACCTTTAAGAAGGGGGCATAGAGTGACCCTTTCTCCAGCCTCTGAACCATCTGGTGCTTCAGTTCTCTCTGGGGAAGGGACACCCCCCACCCCATTGGGAGGTGGGAACTAAGTATAGATAGTCCTCAACTTACAACCATTCATTTAGTGACCGTTCAAAGTTACAACCGCACTGAAAAAAGTGACTTATGACCATTTTCCACCCTTAGGATCTGGACGGGGGGGGGCGTCCTGGGATCAGGGTGCAGGCTCCCCCAGGCTCTCCAGTCGGTTGGGCTGGTCTGCCTTGAGAGGAAATTCTTCCCTATAACTAGCCCCCCCCCCCCCAGGCCACCAAATAGCAAAGGAGTCCCAGCCAGCCCCCCCACTACCCACCCATGGACAGAGGAAGGGAGAGGAAGGCTGTCTTCGTCTCGCCCCAGAACTTCCCTCCATTGATGGAGATGAACTCCCGTGAGCCTCCATCACTGAGGACGGGGGGGGAGGGCTGGGCCCCTCTTGCTTACTCCCTGCATTTAAGCTGCCTGGGCCCCTTCCTTCCCCAAGTGGTCTCTTCTTCTTCTCCCATCAGTGGCTTTCTCTGGGGCCTTTGGGACAGAAGACCCCACGGCTTCCTCTGGACCTGCGGGACCACTCTGCCCAGATCTGGGATGCCAGTGAGGAAGTAGGTCTCGTGGCCCACCTCGTCTTTCAGGAGGCAGAGAAACGGGGGCATCAGCCAGCCTTGGGCACTCCCGTGCTCAGAAACCCCCTCTCCGGGATGTCACAGCAGCTCAGCCGAGCCATGTGAAGCGATGGGCTCCAATGCCAGCTGGCATCTCCTCCGCCTTCTTCTCTGGGCACTGGTGGCCGACAGATGAAGAGGCAGGAGCCAATGGAGCTGACAGCCCAGCCCAAAAGGAGCTGCTCTTGCCAGACCTGGATGCCTTGTGGGCATGCTGCTGCCAGGCGGGCACCAAGGAAGCCTCTTCTGCTGTGTGCCCTATGAGGTTGTGTGGCAACTCCATTGCTGGTGCCAACCGTTTAACACCTCAGCGTCTGCAAAGACTGGAAGTCTGGCATGAGCCCTAAGGCAGTGTCAGTTTTGACTGATTGATTGATTGACAGAATAACAGGGTTGGAAGGGACCTTGGAGGTCTTCTAGCCCAACCCCCCCTCTCGAGCACAAGACCCCATAGGATACCACTCCAGACAAAGGGCTGCCCAGCCTCTTCTTGGAAATCTCCAGTGTTGGAGCACCCACAACCTCTGGAGGGAAGCTGTTTCATTGGTTAATTATTCTGACAGGAAATTCCTCCTTAGTTCCTGGTGGCTTCTCTCCTTGGTTAGTTTCCACCCATCGCTCCTTGTCCTGCCCTCAGAGGCTTTGGAGAATTGCTTGACCCCCAAATCTTCTTTGTGGCAGCCCCTGAGATATTGGAAGGCTGCTATCCTGTCTCCCCCGGTCCTTCTCTTCACTAAACGAGACCTACCCAGTTCCTGCAACTGCAGGCAGCTTCTTTCCCAGCACAGACCTGGGAGGGGTGGGCTCTTATCCAAGGTGCCCCCCTGCCCCCCCCACCCCCATGGTTGCAGCTGAAGAGCTGCATTTACTGAGGAGCCTTTTGGGGGGCTGAGCCGGAGGGTCTGTGGGCTTATGGCTCCACGGCTGCCTACAGGTAAGTCGGAGGTGGGTTTCTACCGGTTTGCCCAAATTGAGGCGCCCACCCGCCCAGACATCATCCCAGACGACCTGCGCATACACAAAGCGCCGTGCATGAGCGAACTGAGCGCGCCCTCACAGTTCCGAACCGGTAGAAAAGGTAAGTGAAAACCACTGCTGTAGGTAGTCCTTGACTTACAGCAGCTCATTTAGTGACGGTTCAAATTACAACATCACTGAAAAAAGTGACTTATGCCCATTTTTCACACTTACGACTGCTGCAGTATCCCCATGGTCACATGACCAACATTCTGATGCTTGGCAATTGTCTCATATTTAAGGCGGCCACAGTATCTGGGGGAGGGTCACGTGATCCCCTTTTGTGACCTTCTGACAAGCAAAGTCAGTAGGGAAGCCAGATCCACTTAACAACCATGTTGCTAACTTAACAACTGCAGTGATTCACTTAAGAACTGTGGCAAGAAAGGTCGTAAAATGGGACAAAACTCACTTAATGAACATCTAACTTAGCAATAGAAATTTTGGGCTCAATTGTGGTCGTAAGTCAAGGACCGCCAGTATCTCAGAAATGGAGTTAATGCCATTTACTTCTTTCTTGCTTCGCATGCATGTTGAGTCACCTGCTGCTCAAAGAAATGGAAGCCATACAAGCTGCTAAGCCACAGAAAAGTTAAAAAGCTGACTCACACAAATCAATACATTTGATTATTGAATTATCCCCTTTTGGGGGGGTTACCCAACATGCTGAATGCCCCACTGAGGTTAACCATCTAATTTCACTCTGGCTGAACAGGTAAACCCCGGGGGGCTTCACGCGGCGGCCTGCCTCCCACTGCATCTTAAAACCCGGTTTGCATCCCCACAACCACCCAATCCCGCTGGGCCTCGTTAAGTGCGTTGCCAAGACCCACAAAATGTGCTAAGCCAGCATTGCAAAAAACGGAAAGGAGGGAGCTGGAAAGCATCTCAGCTGATGGGGTGAAGGCAGCTGCCTCGTTTTCCCAAATACCCAGTGGTGAGGTCGTGCAACCTGTCTGGTGCGACTCAACCAGACCCCCATCAATAACCCATCAGTGGAGCATCTCAGTCACTGGGAGATGGGTGGGGTCCCAGAATTTCCCAGCCAGGGTCTCCCTAGAGATCATCTAAACATCTGCATAAGAGCATCAGACCCATCTAGTCCAGCTGTTGGCCACGCTGGACTGGAGGTCAACAGCCTCCCCCCCCCGGTGCCCCCCCAGACTATCTCCCCCACCCCAGTTTAGCTCCATTTGTCTCCTGTGCCCCAATCAGCCAGTCTGGGCTTCTGGGAGGTGATTGTGACTCCAAATGGATTCTCTAACCCCAGCCAGGACTGCAGAGTGGGGGGTCCCCCAATATCCATGCCCCCAGGCCTTGGCTCGGACTCTGGAGAGGGAGAAACAACCATCTGTATTCATACCACAGAGGCCCAACTGCCTACGAGCCCTTTCCATCATCCAAATCAGCTTGGAGGATAGCCCCTGGCAGCAGATCCCCTGGCTTGGTGGTCCCAGAAGCCTTTCCTCCTGCTAGCCCCACATTGAACTGACCCAGGTGACCTCGGGGTCTAACAGCCCAAGGGTCTTTGATGAAAGCCCCCAATGAATAAGTCCCTCAAGGAGGGAAGGAGCTCTGCTGACTGAGGGGGGGGGGACAACGATCCAGCAGGCCTGGCTTAAGTTATCTGAGGCTTCAGCCTGAAGGAAGGGCAGCCCCTGCCTGAGCTCCGTCTGACCCAAAGGAGAAGGGCCAAGGCCAAAAAAACGGGTCCCCAGGAACACAACGTCAGCAGCCAGATGGAGGGCCAGAAGGACCCCTTTAGCTTCAGCCCCTCCCTCAGAAAATGTGATGCTGCCTCTTCCTCCCAAACGGTGGGTGAGAGGGGTAGCATGGCAGTTGCATTGCAGCGCTCTCCACGCACAGAGTGCTTTTCAGTTGCCAGAGTTGCTCCCCCACCCCAAGTATATGAGCCCTTCTACACCAGGAGGCCAAAGGGAGGGAAGGGGAATGCCTACCCCCAGCCCCTCTGCTATTAAAACTATGCAGCTCAGGAACATCCCTGCCTCACTTTCCTTGGGGCTCCTGGGGGGGATCCCAAAGGGAGGTGATTGGGGGAGGCAGCCCAGCTGCTACTTCTCCAGCACACACACACACACCCTTCTGACAAGAGTCTCTCCTCTAGCCAGGTTTGCCTTTCCGCTGATCGGATCCCTTGAAGACCTCCGGGGGTCTTCAGCCCAAAGGCTGGCTCTGACACTTCCTGGGGGTTTTATCCACCTCTCACCTGGGCCTGATCCCGGGAGCCTCTCCGAGACCGGCCACTAGCTCCTCCCCACGACAACCTCGTCGGTGGAGTTGCGGAGTCGTGGGGGGGGGGGCAACCCCCCCCGGGGCTTCTTAACCTGGCCCTTCCTGGGGGGGGAGGGGGTTGCTGCTCCACAGAGAAGTCATCGCAACTCCTTTCCGCGATGCGCTGCGGTTCCACAGCGACCTCCCGCAATCTGGCGTCTCCCGAGGTCCGGGGAGGAGGGGGACGCAGCTCGACTTTTTGCTCCGGAATCCGGACCGCCAAGCGCAACAGGCGCACAGGATCCGGACCTCCTCCTCCCGCAGGAGACCCAACGGAGGGGGCCAGGAGGGTCCTCACGCCAGCCGGCCAAGGGACATCGTGCCCCCCCCCCCCCCACCGAAGCCAACGAACGACGCCGCAGCCCACCTGGGAGGCTCACTTCCCGCAGCGCCAGAGGGAGTTTCGGCCGGTCCCGAAAGCCGCAAAAGCAAGCGGGGGCTTCGGAGGGTCGAGAGCCGCTCGGAGGACCCGCAGGGAAGGCGCCGCATCGTCCGGGGGCAGCCGCGGAGCAGAAGGAAGCCGCGCAGGGAAAGCAGCGGCGGGGAAGGAGAGCTCGCCCACGCGCGCGCTTTGCCCGCCGCCTCGCCCGACAGCGAGACCCACGCGCGCACCCTCTGTCCTCGGGGCCCGGGGCCCGCCTGGCCTGCTCCCCCGGGGCCAGGGCGCGGGCTGAGAGCGGCCCCCGAGGAAAGGCTCCCCGTCGCCCCCGTCGAGGCGCGGCCAGGGGGACTCAGCAGCGCCGTCGGGGCCCGAGGACGCGGCGGGCCCGGAAGTGCTCACCTGGCCCGGCCCGGCCGGGCTGCCCTGACCAGCAGCGGCCCCAGCGCGGCTCCTTCCCTCGCCTCCTTCCGCAGCAGCCCAGTTGGCGCCGCGGCGAAGCAGCAGGGCGAGCAGCCCGAGTGACAAGCGGCTGCAGCGGCGACTCCTCCCCGTTTGCCGTCGGAGGGCTGCGCCCGGCGCCCGCCCCTTCCCCCTTCCCCCTTCCCCTGCCCACGGGGAGGCGGGAGCCGCTTCGGATTCGGGGCGCATCCAGGCGGCCGCCGCTGATGGCACGCGCGGACCGCCCCCAGGCGGAGCGGAGCGGAGGCGGCGGAGGCCCCCGCCCGTATGGTGCCAGCACAGCCGCTGCCAAGCCGCCCGCCATCCTGGGGACACCTGCTGGCAAGTCCTGGCCGGCGAGGGTGATCTGAGCCCCTCGAGGCCCCCTCCTGCACTCCTCTGCCTCTGCTAGGGGTGCCTCCCAGCCCAGGACCTGGCTCAGCTGGGCAGCCCAGCAGGAGGGGCCCCGGAGGCCCCTGGCCCTCTGCCTGGAAGGTGGGGAAGGGGCTTAAGGGGCCTCCAGCAGCAGGATGCTCTGGTCCCGTCAGCGGAGGCTGCTGGGACAGGATGGGTTTGGTCTGATCTAATGGGGCAGCCAGGCTCCCTTCAGCTGCAGGCCTCCACTCAAAGTGCCTCCGCACCCCACCAGCCTGGGCACTCAGGCTGGCCTACACTGCAGGACTGCTGTTGAGCAGATGCTGTCAGCTCTTCCACCATGGGCAGCTCCTGATGTCAGCCAGTCCGTGGCTGAGACACAGACCCACAAACGTGCCCAGACAATACAACTACAACTAAGTTTGCAGATCCGTAGTGGACCTAAAGCCTGGGAAATGGAGGTGCTGCCCTCAGCTGCTCTGACAACCAAGCCCAGTCACCCCATCAACACTGGCAGGGCACCACCCCCCCTCCCTCCTAGCCCAGCAGATGCTACCTAGCCTGGCAAGGAAATCTCTGGGAGCCAACTCCATGGCTCAGCAGCTCCAAGGGCCAGAGAAATTCACCCAGCAGGTAGGCCTCACCCAGGGTTGGCATGTGGCAGCTGCCACCCTGGGTCCTGGCAGCTGTCCCTGGGATTCCAGTGATGGAACAGGAGCCCCTTGGCCTGGGAGGAATGGCTAAACTTGAACCATGGCCTGGAATCCACAATCAAATGCCAGGCTCCAGAAGGCACTGACCACCATGGCATTCCCCTGGCCCCTCTAGGCAGAAGAAGGCACCTGGCCCGGAGGTGCTTCAGGCAGACCATGTGGAGCTCAAGTTCTCCCTGAACCTCTCTGCCCGTGTTCCTATTGCCCATGGGCCTGGGTCTGAGCGGAGATGAGTGGGGACTCCTGGCACCTTTCCAACTCAGCCCAGGGCAGGGTGAAGGTGAAGGCCAAGGAGGGAAGGTCTCAAATCGGAAGTGGTGCTAACAGGGAGGTGGACATGCAGGTCACTGGCCAACAGCAGCACCCACAACAGGGGGCCTGGGGAAGAAGAGAGCCACACAGGCCCAGAGCCTCCAGCGGGGGTTACCTGGAAAGGTTGCAGGCAGAAGTTTGATTCCTGAGCTGGCTAAGCTCCCTGAGCGTCTTCCAGCCAGGCTGGGCCAGCCCAGATCCTTGCAAGCCCCTCTGCTTGTAGGAGCATCCAGGCCAGATTCAAGCGGCCTGCTTTCTTGGCAGCAGAGCCCCTCGCACAGCTCTCCTGTCACAGAGGCCGGAGGCCTGCTATTTGGGGCGCCTTCTCCCTTCATCTCTGTCCCTTGTTGCTTCTCCAGGTGAGGGCAGTGGGAGATGGGCAGCTCCGCTTGTCCTGAAAGCAGCAGCCCCTGCCAGCCAGCAGAGGGAGGGAGGGAGGAAGCATTTCCCTCCTCCTCCTCCTCCTCCTCCTCCTCCTCCTCCTCCTCCTCACATCCTGCTCTCCAGCCCCCACCCTTGCTGGCCATGGCTTCCAGAGGCAGCAACCATCAACTGCCTGATGCAGACCTGATGGGGCTCAGGAGAGCTCTCCATGGGGTCACGGTGGATGCAGACCACCAGTAGCCAATGCATCACTGATGGGAAAGGACTCCCCTGGGATTCTCTCATCTGATGAAAGGATGAGTAAAGGTCGTTTACTCCCTCCCTCCCTTTCCCTTTCAGCCATCCTGCCATCGTGCCATTCATCAGACCATCATGCCCCATCCTGACCTTGGAAGGAAGGAGAGAGAGAGAGAGAGAGCAGGTGAGCCCCTACCAACCCTGCTAAAGAGTCCCTTCCTCTCTGATCCCCTTCTGGCTACTGCGTCCGCACAGCTTCTGGGCCCCCGACTGAGGGGCTGCGGGCACTGCCAGCGCATTCAGCCTCACAGCTTCTCCTGCTGGGTTGGTCAGAGACCTGATGGGCTCTTCTACACACCTGCCTGCTGCAGGGAAGCCACCTGGCTCCTTGTTCTGTGGGGCGCAGGAACATGTAAGCCTAACCCTCCGCCCGCTTTCCTTGCTCTGTATCGAGGCCAGCATCGGCCAGCAGAGGCAGAGTTGCGTGTTTTGTGTATAATGTTCCATTGTATGTTGCGTGCACCTCCTCTCCCACCGACTCTGGCTTTTGCTCTCTGGTGGCTGCCCCCTCCCCACGGCCAGTACAGAGTCTTTTGCTCCGAAGCCCAACGGAGGCTTCCTTTGCAAGGTATTTCCTGAGGCCTAACAAGCAGTCCTCTTCTTACAACTGTTCGTTTAGTGACCAAAGTTACAGTGTTACTGAAAAAAGTGACTTTGCAGCATCCCCAGGGTGACGTGATCCAAATTCAGAGGCTTGGCAATTGGCTCATATTTATGACGGTTTCAGTGTCCTGGAGTCACCTGATCCCCTTTAGCGACCTTCTGACAAGCAATCAATGGGAGGGCCAGATTCACTTAGCAACTGAAGTGATTTACTTAACAACCGTGGCAAGAAAGGTTATGAAATGGGGCAAAATTCACTTAACAACTATCTCACTTAGCAAGGGAAATGTTGGGCTCAATTGTGGCCATAAGTCGAGGACTATCTGTATACGCCTAATATATAAGAGGAGGCTCTGAGTATTATAGAACAGGGCAAAGCCTTCAGTTGGGGGCCAGTCAGTGGGGCAGCTGCTTTAACCACACTGCCCCCACCTGTCGTCCTAGGCGTCACTGTGGTGAGGCTCCGGTGGCATTTCGCCTCCTCTGATGCCGAGGGGTTCTCCAGTGCCAGGCCCACTTATGCTGCTACTGGGGTCCCGGGCGGCTGGTGGCGCCCGCAAGAGTTCTGCCCCACCTCCCTTCCGAATCAGGGCCAAGGGCTGGGGGAAGAAATTGGGGGGGGATGCACGGAAAGGGGGCGGGGCAGGGAATCAGGGGAAGGCAGCAGGTGCCAAGGGCGTCCCTGCACAAACGGCAACACACAAGGGCGTTGTGATGGTGGAGCAGCTGTGCAGGTGCTTGACGTGTGTTTGAAGATGCTTGCAGCTGTTCACCCCAAAAGGGGCTGAGCGGAGGGGCAGCTGGGGCAGTGATGGTCACAGCCTTGGGGACTCCTCTTCCTTGAACCCGAGGAAGCTGCTGCAGCCATGAAGGGTGGGCAGGCTCTAGGAGAGGGGGGATACGGCCAGGGCAGCCCACTGGGGAGTGGGGGAAAGGGTGGGAGTGAGGAGGCTGAGAGGTCAAGGAGGGTCAAGGCTTCAATTCTCTCTCGAGAAAGAGGTAAGCAAGCCAAGGAGAGCCTGGGGGGGCCCTTCTGCCCCCTCCCCTCTTGTGGCATTCTGGATTGGCAGGCAATTCAGAGCCATTTTGGGAGCCAGCCAGCCACAAGGACACTTCTGCCCCCAGAGCTAAGTGGGGAAGCACACAATGGCATAGATGGTTCAACATCTGCCAGGAGCAGACGGTGGGCAAGGCCAGGTTGGGGCCATTTCTGTTCGTACCCATTTCATGTATTCTTAATTATGTTTATACTTTTATCTGTTATATATGCTTGACAAAATAAATAAATAAATAAATAAATTGTGGAGGCGGCCACAGGGTATATGTGCTCCCCCCCAACCCATGTTGCTTAGTAACTGGTTTCACAAGACTCTGCTGCCCTCTGGTGGACGCTACTGAGGCTGGCAGCAAGCTCTGTTCCCCAGCCCCCCACCCCCGCCGCCCCCTTCTGAAGCTGCCCATCTTGAGCGTCTGTTCCCACCCAGATTCCAGGCAGATGGCAACCCAGCAGGGGCTCAGTTAGAGCCCCAGATTGGCAATCCAGTCAAACAGATACAGGCACCAGGGTGGTTTTGCAACGGAGCCATCCCTGCTGCCCACCTTGTCTCTGACTCATTCTCTGCAGCAAATCAGCAGCTGAGGCTCTTCCACAACTTTAAAAATGGCCAAGATGGGGAGGGTGTTTTTAGAAGACACCAATCCTCCTTAGAGGACAACGTGGGAGGAGGAAGGCCAACGCTGAGTCCTTGTGTACACAGGACAAGATCCGGGGTCCCAGCTGCACGTGAGCCGGCAGGGGGTGCAGCAGCTAAGAAGCCAAATGCCATTAAGCAGAAGCACTGCAGCCAGACGGGCAGTAGTTCCATTGGCCTTCGGGAGGGTCCAGTCTCTCTTCTCCAGTTTGGCCACTAGACTTAAAAGAGACGATCAGGAACTTGAACACCAACCCTGCGAGGAAGCCTTAAAGGAGCTGGGAGGCTGAACCTGCCCAAGAGAGGGCGGAAGAGAGGAAGGAGGAGAGGGGTCTGCAAACATCTGAGGGCTGTCTTGGGCAAAAGGATGCAGATTCTTCTCCATGGAAACTGAGAGAAGAAGAATCAGTCAGTCCAAATGAAAAGGAGGCCGATTCGGTGCAGCGTCAGAGATTTCTGTGGTGCAAAAGCTGTAAATCAGCACCACCTTCTGCCGGAACGGTGGCTTCCCACTCATCAAATGCTTTCAAAGTGTGTTGATTGAGTGACTGTCAAGGATTGTTTGGATGACCTTTAAGTGCCTTTCCAACTCACACTTTGTATGAACCAGTGAGGTCAATGTTGGCAGCACTCATCTCTCTGTCCCTGGATAAATGGACGGCCACACTAAACACTGCAGGGGGAGGGGTGACATCAGATCAACTTACCAACAGAAAGAACACTCCACTCCACTGGAAGCTTTTCCCCTAACAATATTGCCGGCTTCTAATTTTTAAAAAATCTGGCATTGTTTCATACAGCAAAAGGGATGTAAACAATTACAGCTACCCACAAATACATGAGGAAAGGAAGGGCTGGAGGAGGCATGAGCCAGCCGTGTGCTGCAGCTGCTGGAACAGCTAATGTGATCTTGGGCTGCACCAACAGAGGCAAAACGTTGAGATCCCAGGAAGGGATCCGTGCTCCACGCTGCCCTGGTCAGATTAGCCCTGGAATACTGTGACCGGTTCTGGTCCCCACAATAAAAGGAGGGCCCTGAGGACCTGGAAAGAGGGCAGAGAAGATGGGGAGGGTCTTGGGAGCTAACCGGGTATCTTTAGCCTCCAGAAGAGGAAGGCCTCCCGGCAGTCTTCCCAGCCTTGAAGGGCTGCCCCAGGGAAGGCGGTGGGGCTGTTGTTTTCTTCTACTTTTATTTATTCAACGTTTATGCCGTCCATCCCTCCTGTGGGGTGATCCCGGAGTTCTTCTCCAGAGCCCCTGAGGGCAGGGCAGGACCCACCCTGGCAGAGAGAGACCCCAGCTCAAAATCCGGGAGAATTCCCTGGCCCTGCGGGTTCAACCCCACAATCCGTTGTCTGGGTCTGAGGATCCTTGTGCCGGCAGAGGGCTGGGCTAGATGACCCCCGAGGTCTCCTCCGACCCTCACACGCACAAAGGAGCCAGAAGAGAAGGGCCACTCCGACTCGGTCCGGGCAACGGTTGGGGGAAAAATGCTGTTTTTGCAGCGTGGCCCACGAGACCCCTCCGCCCCCGGCCTCCCCCCCTCCCCCCGTTTCCCACATGCGCGTGGGGGGGGGGAACCAGCCGGGCTGGAAGCGGAGCGGCCCCCGCTTGAACCCCGGACCTGCCAGGCGGAGACCCCTCCCCACCCCCACCGCCTAGCAGGGCTTGCGAGCCGGGGAGTCCTAGGCTCCGCCCCTCCCGACAGGCCCCTCCCCGCTCGGGCCGGTCAAGGGAGCCCCGCCCCCCAGGCTGCCTGTTTCGAAGCCTTCCGCGAACGAGAAGCCGGGGGGGGGGAAGGCCCGCCTCCCCGGGCATGCGTACTCGCGCCACCCGGCAGTGGCGCTCTTCCCCGTCGCGCCTGGAGGGGGCGCCCGCACTTCCGGCAGGCCCGCCCTCCGTTTCCGGGAGGCGCTAGATGGCGGCGCCCGTGCGGCGCGCGTGTCTCCCGGGCGGCGGGATGGGGCGGACGGTGCTGGTGCGGGGGCTGCCTCCCTCGGCCCGCGCCGCCGACCTGGAGGGCGAGTTCGGGCAGGCGGGGCCGGTGCGGCGGGCGGTGGCCGTGACGGCGCCCGGTGAGCGAGGGGAGGGACGGAGGGGAGGGGGGGAGGGAGGAGGGTTAGGGGGAGGGAGAGAGCGAGAGAGGGGGGGACGGAGGGAGGGGAGGAGGGAGGGAGGGGGGGGAGGGAGGGGGGGGGGGGGGGGAGGGAGGAGGGAGGGAGAGGGGAGGGGAGGGGAGGGACGGAGGGAGGGGGGAGGGAGGAGGGTTAGGGGGAGGGAGAGAGCGAGAGAGGGGGGGACGGAGGGGAGGGGAGGGAGGGGAGGGGAGGGGAGGGACGGAGGGGAGGGAGAGAGAGGGGAGGGGAGGGGAGGGACGGAGGGGAGGGGGGGAGGGAGGAGGGTTAGGGGAGGGAGAGAGCGAGAGAGGGGGGGACGGAGGGGAGGGGAGGGGGAGGGAGAGAGAGGGGAGGGAGGGACGGAGGGGAGGGGGAGGGAGAGAGAGGGAGGGCGGGGGGGGTCCCTCCCTCCTGGTCCGGGGCCTGACGGGGCGGCCTGGTCGTTGCAGGGGGCGAGGCGTGCACCGGGATAGGCTTCGTCAGCTTCTCCCTGCCGGAGGACGCGCAGCGGGCCCTGCGCGAGATCCGCACCTTCGGCGGCCGCCGGGTCAGCCTGGCGTTGGCGCGGCCCAAGAAGAAGCGGAAGGCGGGAGGCGGAGGTGAGCGGGGGCCTCGGGCCCTTCTGGGGCTCTGGGGGGGGGAGGGTCTCCCCGGGCCGCCTTCCTCCCCCTCACCCGCCCTCCCCCTCTCCCCCTCTGCCAGAGGCCGCCCCCGAGGCCCCCCGGCCAGCGCAGGAGCCCCCCAAGGCCAGGGCGCCCCCCAAGAAGGCCCGGCTGATCGTCCGCAACCTCAGCTTCAAGGTAGGAAGGCGGCGGCTGCCCTGGGCGGGTTTGGGGCGACCCCACCGCTGCTTCTCCCCGCCGCCCCCTGCGCTCTTCGCCCTTGAATCCCTTTGGCCTTGTCGGTTCCTCCCAGTGCACGGAAGAGGACCTGAAGAGCGCCTTTGCCCCCTTCGGGACGGTCCTGGAAGCCTCCCTGCCCAGGAAGCCCGGTAGGTGTGCCGGGAGGGAGGGGGGAGGTCCTGGGGCCCCTGCGGGAGAAGAGCTCCTTCGTGGCATGAAGGCTTTTGCTGGACCGTCTTTCTCTTTGGGTTATTTGTTTGGCTCATCTTACATGGACCAGCTTTAATATATGAACATTTCACCTCGATTAGTTTTTACTAATATGAAGGTTCAAAAGATCCGTGTTGGGTGGGTGAATGCAGGAGACTCCCTGCTCTGGGTGAGGGGCTGCTTTGCCCCCATCCCTTTGCTGGGCAGAAGCTGTAGCTCATGGGATGCAGGGAAGCAGCCGGCCTGGGGAAGGTGTGAATGCAGGACGTAAGAGGGGGCTTCTGGCCTTGATCTTTGCCTTCCAGATGGAAAGCTCCGCGGCTTTGCCTTCGTGCAGTTCAGGAATGTCCTGGAAGCGGGAAAAGCCCTGAAGGGGATGAACATGAAGGAGATCAAAGGTGAGTCCCTGCTCAGGATTTGGGTGGGTGTCCGTCATCTCGTGCTGAGGTGCTCCCAGAGGGGCAGGAAGGGGACCAGCTGCGGCTCAGCAGATGCCAGCCTCGGGGGAAGAATTTGCCCACTTCCTGCGCACGCCGTCTTCGCTTCCGTGCAGGGCTGAGGGTCAGCAGCAGCACGAAGGTGTCCTGGATAAAAGGAACTCGGGCTGAATACTGAACGACGACAGTGCTTTATGGGAAGGAGGAAAGCCATGGTTTTTACAGAAGTTGGGGGCTGCAGGGCGGAAATTCCTGGGGACCTGATGGGCTGGCCAGTCTGGGGAAGCTGGGCAGGTTCTTGTCCCTGTCCCTGAGCAAGTTCTATGGTTAGGCCAAATGGGAGGGGCGGCATCCCTGATTGAGGAGGGAAAGCTGGGGTTGCCCTTGGGCCATGCTGTGAGGACTTGCAAAGGGCTTTGCCTGCTGCAGGGGAAGGTCAGTGTGGGTTTGTGGGCAAGCGGGGGGAGATGGTGATGACCCTGGTCACAGGAAAGAGGGCAGTAGTCTCCGTGGAATCTGCTTCCTCCACTGCAGTGGCACTTGCCATCTTGCTGAAGCTTGGCAGCTAAGTAGGGCAGCCCTTAAGGTGGTTGAAGGCCTGTCAGGGTTTTAAAAGCAGGCAACAGATGGACGACCTTTTGGTCCTCCCGTGTAAGCGTGTAAGCATCGCCTGGCTCTGGGGCTTCTCGCCCTGTATTACCCCCACTTCCAGCCAGCCTCAGCGGTCCCCTTACTCTCTGCAGAGCGCCCAGTGGCTGTGGATTGGGCTGTGGCCGGGAGAAGTACCAGGCTGCGCAGGCAGAAGGCGTCCCTGCTGGTGAGTGGCCATCTCGTGTGAATTCGGGGTGGGTGGGTGGGGGGGGGGAGGAATCTGTTCTGCTCTTCCATTCTTCATGCATGTTGCTGTGACCAAATAAGCCCCATTCTGATTTGGCCCACAATGTCTCTTTACGTCCTTTGCCCGCCCTCAGAGAAGGAAGTTGGGGCAGAGAAGAAAGCCCAGCCGGAAGTTGTGGATGGGAGTGGAGAAAAACGAGGGAGGCCAGAGGCTACTGCGCCAGGGAGGCCCAGCAGGTAAGCCTCAGGGGGAGCCTGGGGTGGCCACGTGGCAGAAGTGTGAGTGCTTGTGGTCAGCTGGGGCTGCCTTCTCAAGGGCGGTGGGCAGTTGCAGCTTCCTCTCCTCGCCCAAAGCCAGTGCATCCCCCTGGTTTTGCCCCCCAGAAACACTCTCTTGCTGATTCCTTCTGACTGGCCTCTCCTCCTAGGGACCCTCAACCTCCAGTTTCCCCCGTGGAGAGCGAGGACGAAGACCAGGAGGTCAGCTCTAGGGACCAGGAGGAGGAACCGTACGAGGCTGGGAGTTCTGATGGGGAAGATGAGGAGGAGGAAGAAGGAGGAGGAGCAGGTTGGTTGGTTCAGATGCTTTGGGGGGACAGGGTGAGGAGGGCCTGCACATGTAGAATCAGCCAATACTTGAAGCAGCAGGAGACCACCCTGTAGAGGTAGTCCTCGACTTATGACCACAATGGAGCCCAAAATTTCCATTGCTAAGCAAGACAGTTGTGAGTTTTGCCCTATTTTGTGACCCTTCTGGATCATGTGATCACAGGGATGATGCAATGGTTGTGGGTGTGAAAAATGGTTATAAGTCACTTTTTTCAGTGCTATTGTAACTCTGAACGGTTCCAAGTCAAGGATTCCCTATATTAGGCTGACAGGGGGTCCTTCAAGGTGATTCCACCCTTGCTGGGGTTTTCCTAGTTATCCTGTTCGATGGCTTTCCAGAGACTTCTTTCTCCTAGGGGCCACTTTCCCAAAACCGGCTCACCTACCAGCCTCCCTTGTCCAACTCAGGTGCTGGGGGTGGGGGAGCAGTCAGGCCTCTGGAGAGTCCCAGAGGGAGGAGGGGTGATATCTGCACCCCAGGAGTTTTAGCGTCCATTTCTATGGCTTTCTCGCTCACTTACTTGTTGAGTCTCATGTTCCTCCCTCTCGTTGCAGGGGAGGACCCTGCCCCAAAGCAGAAGCAGCACCACTCTGATGTCGCAGAGGGCCGGACTCTCTTCCTCAGGTGGGTCCAAGGGGCGGCCTGGGGGGCCTAGCACCCTCCTTGAGGCTTGCTGTGCTGCAGCCCCAAAGGGCCTCCTGTCTGGGGGGAGCCACCGGGAGGCTGCTGCCCTGCACCCCCTGGCCACGCTTGGCAGCAGCACAGAAACTACCAGATAGACCTGGCAGCCGTCTCCCTCCAGCCGCCCGGGGGCGGGGGTGTCAGAACACATGTGGAGGGAGTTGTTTCTGCCCTCCCCCCCCCCCCCCCCCCACAGGAACTTATCTTTTGACACGGAAGAGGAAGAGCTGGGGGAGCTTCTGGAGCAGTTCGGGGACCTGAAATACGTCCGGATTGTGTTGCACCCCGAGACAGAACACTCCAAAGGTGAGTGGGGCTTGCAGACCCCATCCCCTCACCTGGCCAAAGGGAAGGCCCCCACACTCCTTCGGTTCCCCATTCCCCTGTGGGAGACCTAGAGGAAAAATAAGGGCCAAAATGGATCTTTTCCTTGCGCCCCCCCCCCTGCAGGGCAATTCAGAAGCCCCCTTCATCCTTTCCTGCCTGCCTTCCTTCCAATGGCCCCCCCCTTTGCCCTCCTCAGGCTGCGCCTTTGCCCAGTTTGCCACCCAGGCAGCTGCCCAGAAATGCCTGCAAACAGCGAAGGAGGAGACTGAGGTGAGAGCAGGACCCTATGGGGCGATGAGGGGCGGTGGCCCCATTTGAACTCACAGGAGCCCCTTCGTGGGGCACCTCCCTCTCACCTTGTTTTTCTCCCTACAAGGGTCAGGGGCTTCACCTGGGGGGCCGCCGTCTCCGGGTGGACCTGGCTGTCAGCCGTGAGGAAGCCCAGCAGCTGCGAAGCCCAAAGACCCCCAAGCCCACCGGCACACGCAACCTCTACCTGGCCCGGGAAGGCTGTGAGTGGGTCCCCCCCTCGTCCCCAGGGCTCCTGGGCCCCCAGCCCTGCCAGGGGAGGAGAAGCCTGATGCCAGGCAAAAGACAGAGCTCTCTGCGGACTGCGAGGTTGACCCTCTGGCCGGCCTCTGGCCAGCTGCAGCTCCAGCACAGCCCCCCCCCCCCCCCCCCCCGCCGCGCCCCCCCCCCCCCCCCCCCCCCCCCCCCCCCCCCGCCCTCTGGCTGTCCTCACCTTCCCTTTCCTTCTGCAGTGATCCGGGCTGGCACGAAAGCAGCCGAGGGGGTCAGTGCTGCTGACATGGCCAAAAGGGCCCGGGTGAGTGCCCCCCCCCATGCCAGTTTGGGAAGGGAGTGAGCATCAGTCCCCATGGCTGTTGAGGGCCTGTGGGCAGCCTTCCCGAAGTGCCCAGGAAGACTCTCTGCCACCCGTGGGCTCTGAAAGCCGGCCTCGCTCTTGAGAGTTTGGGGTGGGCGGAGGGAGGCCGGATGGTCCGGGGGAAGGGTTGCACAGACGGGCAGAGCTCTGACGGGGTTCTGCCCCCCGTGCAGTTCGAAGAGCTGAAGCGACAGAAGCTGAGGGACCAGAACGTCTTTGTGTCCCAGACGAGGCTCTGCGTCCATAACCTGCCCAAGAGTGTGGATGGTGCCGCTCTGAGGAAGGTCATGCTGCAGGCAGCGGGTGGCGGCACGCCTGGTGCCAGGATCACGGAGGTCAGCCTCTGCCCCGGCCTCTCCAGGGAGCTCGCCCTTCTGCTGCCAGGACGGGGTCTGGCCATGACCCAGGACCCTTCTCCCGGGGGGTTGGCAGGAGCTGCAGAGCCACAGGGCTGCTTCCTGAGCCCAAGAAACCGGGGCTCAGCCGGAGGGAAGGAAGGAAGGCGGCCGGTGCTCCGGAGCTGTGCAGGCTGAGAGTGGAGGTCCCTGGGCTCCTTTCCCCACCTACCCACCCACCCCTTGCCTCTTCTCCGCTTCTGCAGGGCAGGAGTGGGGGGGGGCACTCCACGCCTGAGCCAGGGGCCCGGGAGGGGGCTGAGCTGAGCCTTTCTCTGCAATCCCAGAGGCTCATTGTGGTCGTGTGATGTCCCAGGTTTCAGGTGGATTGCGAAGCAGAACCTTCCCTGCAGCGTCTCAGGGCTCCCCTTGGTCCTTCTGGGTGGGCAAAGCCCCTTGTGTGCCGAGGATGAGCCTTCGGGCTCCAGAATTGAACTTTGGGTGGGTCCGGTCGGCCTCTAGCGGGTGCCCGACTGTTGCCTCTCTCCCCCCCCCGCCCCCCCAGTGCCGGGTGATGCGGGAGCTGAAGGGCCGGGGCCGGTCTCTGGGCTATGCCTTTGTGGAGTTCCAGCAGCCCCAGCATGCCCTGCTTGCCCTGCGCCAGGTCAACAACAACCCCCAGCTCTTCGGAGACCAGAAGGTGAGCGTCTTCCCTGCCCGGCTGAGCTCAGCTTCTCCGGAGACCCAGCGGCAGCACTGCAGGGCCCAGCAGGCTGCCTGGGGTCCATGAAGCCCCCCTACCCTTCCTCCTTGAGGCTCCCACGCCCATCTGGCCATCCCAAGACTCGGGATGGGCCATTTGCGGAGGGACGCGAGGCTGGAGGGGACTGGGCCTGTGGGTCTCTGCCCACCCCGTGGAAGGATCCAGGCAGGGAATAGGAGGGAGGCCACCCCTTGAGCAGGAGGGCAGAAGTCTGGGTGCCCCTTGGCATCTGCCTCAGGGCCCAAGACGGGGCTGTTTCTCTTCCCAGCGGCCTATTGTGGAGTTCTCCTTGGAGGACAGGCGGAAACTGAAGCTGAAGGAGCAGCGTGCTGAACGCAGCCTGGTAGGGCATCCGGGGGGACCCTCCCATGGCTGCAGGGATGAAGCCATCTCCCGGGCAGGAACCAGCCCCCCTTCTGCTGGCTCCAGGGGTCCGGGGTGTGGGGTCCCTCAGGTTTGCGTCCTGAGCTGCTGGAAGGATAAAGGGAGTCCGGCTGCACCACCCAAAGGGAGAGACAGGCCCTGCGAGGGCTGCGAGATGAGCTTGAGGCTGGCCTGTCGTGCAGAGGTTGCTCTCCCTGCTGAGGGGGGGTGAGGGGGGGGGGCTGGCTGCCAGGTGACACTTTTCTCCCTCGTGCAGCAAAAGCTGAGGCAGAAGCAAGCAGCTGCTGGGCCAGCAAGTCAGGAGCCATCGCCCGGCACCAGCCAGCCGGGGGCCCCTCAGAAGCCACCCAAGGGCTGGAAGAAGGCCCCAGGGGCCAAAGGAAAGCCTCAGGCTCCACCACAGCACAGTGGCCAGAAGAGGAAGCGGCCTGGGCCCTCGCCGAGCCTTCAGACCACTGAAGGAGCCGCCTCCTGGTCAGGTTTCCAGACCCACAAGGAGCAGGAGACGGTGGAGCTGCCCAACGGCACAAAGCGGAGGAGGGTCCTGGCCCTTCCCTCTCACTGGGGACCCAAAATCAGGTAAAGGCAGCCGTGGAGGGAGCTCCTGGGTCCCTGGCATGGCCAGAGGAGATCCTGCACACAGACCCTTGCTCTGCCACTTAGACGGGAGCTTGGAGGGCCCCCCGGGGGACAAAAATCCCCTGGTGCTGCTCCCTGGACTGAGGGGGGGGCTCTCTCCCGGCAGGAATCGCGACAAGGGCAAAGCGAAGGGGGCCCCTCCCAAGAAGAAGAAGGCGGGGCCCAGAGAGCGGAAGGCGCCCAGAGCTGCCCGCCAGGTGAGTCGGTGGGGTCTCCTCCCATGCAGAGCCCACCTGCCACTGTGCAGTGCCCCCACCCCCGGCCTTCTGAGCCTGATCCCCGTGCTTGTCCTCAGGGCCCCCAAAAGAAGCGGGCTGGACAGGGCCGGGCGGAGGTTCGCTTCGAGCAGCTGGTGGAGCGGTACAAGCAGCGGATCCTGGGGGCTGGCAAGGCCGCCCTGCAGCTCAAGAGGAGCAAGTGGTTCGAGAACTGAGTCGCCCCTCCCCAAGGAAGAGAGAGACCCCCAGCTGGGTGGGGCTGCCGGGAGGCCGGGTCCTGCCCTTGGGGGGAGAGGAGAGGAGGAGGCTCGCCCAGGCCCAGGTTCCTCAGAAGTGACACGGGGGGCAGACAGGCAGGGTGAAGAGCCCCCTGGGGCCCTGGAAATGCTGGGGTCTCTGGAGAAGCAAGGCAGCCGCCTGCTGTGGCCAGACCATCCTTGCCGTGAGGAGGGGCAGTGGGGGGGGGGTGTCAGCCCTTCCTCCGCGCTTAGCTCCAAACGTGCAGAAGGGAGTCCCGGCAACACAGCCTCTGGTGGAAGAGGCGCAAGAAGGAGAGCCGCTACTGGGAGGAGGAGGAGGAGAAAGCGGCTCCCATCGTTTCTTTGGCATCTTTCAATAAATGACTTTCTGAGAATTGTGGTTGCTGGGAATCTCCTCCTAGGCCTGGATCACAGGATCCCTTTCCTGTCAGGGGTGGTGGTGGGGGTTTAGGGTTAGAGTAAAATCCTGCTAACGAGGCAGTGGGCTTCTGGTTCGGAAGTTCTACCACGGGGCATTAGAGAGAACCTCCCAAAATCCACTTTGATGCTCTTAACAGAAAAACAATTGGAAGGGACCTTGGAGGTCTTCTAGTCCAACCCCCTGCTCAAGCAGGAGACCATATACCATTCCCCACAAATGGCTGTCCAGTCTCTTAAAAACCTCCAGCGAGAGAGCCCCCACGACGTCTGAAGGCAACTTCTGTTCCACTGATTTTGAACTATCTGGGACTTTCTCCTTAGATCCAGGTTGCTTCTCTCTTTGATTAGTCTCTATCCGTTGCTTCTTGTCCTGCCCTCGGAGGCTTTGGAGAATAGGCGGACCTCCTTTTTGGGGGGGGGCAGCCCCTGAGGTATTGGAAGACTGTCGGCCCTAGTCCTCCTTTTCATTAAACTAGCCATGCCCAGTTCCAGCAACCGTTGTTTCTATGTTTTAGCCTCCAATCCCCTAGGCCTCTTTGTTGCTCTTCTCTGCACTCTTTCTACGGTCTCAAAAACTTTTTAATATTGTGATCAAAGCTAGATGCTGTAATGCAGAGGCCTTCAAACTTGGCAGCTTTAAGACTTGTGGACAACTCCTAGAACTCTCCAGCCAGCTATCCTGGGAGTTGAAGTCCACAAGTCTTAAAGCTGCCAAGTTTGAAGGCCTCTGCTGTAATGGGATGTTAAATTCCTTTTGGGGGCACCTTTACCAATCTCCCAGTGGACACCCCCCCCCCATTCACAACCCAGTTTCCCAAACGCGTCTTGTTGGGGAGAAACATGGTTTAATGAGTCTGGACTAGAGGGTTCCGTTTTGGAGCAAAAGGAGGGCGGGCTGACTGGTAGTTTTTAGCAATCCAGCTGATGTTTGGCCTTAACCAGGCCTCACACGGAGCCTTACAGGTTCTGTTGTTGAGTGAATCTGGTTTCCCCAATTTTGTGACTTTGTTTGTCAGAAGGTCACAAAAAAGGATCACATGACCCTGAGACGCTGCGACCGTCATAAATACGAATGGGTTGCCAAGTGTCTGAATTTTGATCATGTGACCATGGGGAGGCTGCAACGGTCATAAGTGTGAAAAATGGTCATAAGTCACTTTTTTCAGTGATGTAACTTAAAACAGTCACTAAATGAACCGTTGTAAGTGGAAGACTCCTTGTATAGAAAGCCCTCCTGTCTTTTCAAATCCTTTGGAGGAGACCCCTCTAGTCCTCCGATGTCCTCGGAATGCCTGGGACTACAAAGCTCATCCCAGAAGCCCTGCCTTGGCCAGGCCCCATCCTCCGATTGGCTTGGAAGAGGCGGGGCTCTGTGGGATCGGTAGACTTGGCCGTTCGGGGTCTGGCTTGGCTCCCTCAGCATCGGCCACCAGGGCAGCCCTACCTGAGCGGGTTTGAGCCTGAGGCCCCCCCCCTCTTCCCTGCCAGTGATCCCAGCCAGCCAGCTGAGGAGAGGGGGCAATGGGGAGGAGGGTGAACTGCGCGGCTGCCTCTGGGGGACCAAGCCAAGTCTTGCAAAATGCCAGTCAGCCGCCTAAGATCCTCCAAGCAGGAAGCCTCTGGAAAGAGTGACTCCGGGAAACGGTGTCAACAGATGAGCTCACAGACAGCCCCGAGGACAGTTGTGTGGGGAGCTGTTTCCACCGCTGAAGGCTGCAGTTGGAGCCAGCGGTCTGAACGGCTGCTCCATCCAGGCTGAGGGCCACCTGGGCTCCCTGCGGCAGTCGAGGGCTGGCTTAAGCTGCACAGATCAGGGCAACCTCCTGCCTCTCGGCTGCTTGTGCTCCCCCAAGTCCTCTTTGGCCCCCTTGGCCTGTTGGGGGGGGGGGGGGGGGGGGGTGTACTTTTGCAGGGTGGTGTCATTCTTGTGGCTCTTTCTTGCATCCCGGAAGCACTTTCTGGCCTTCTGGGGACCCCTCCTGGCTCGCCCGCTCTCTTCCTTCCCTTACACTGTCCTTCAGTCTGGGCTCCTGGCTAGCGCACCCTTTGCCCTGCCTCCTCTCCACTTGGGGCAGGGCCCCAGGGAAGTCCCCTTCCTTACCTAGCAAGTGGTGGAAGCCGTAGCCGTGGGAGGCTGGGACCGAGAGTGCCATCATCCTTTGCAGATGTCCTGAATTCTGGAGGTTCGTGCAGAGGAGTGTGTGGGTCTGGCCCGCTGCCTGCTGGAACCCCTTCTGTTGCAGGCGGCTCATCTTCATAATGCAAAACTGAAGCCCGGCTTGCCTTCCCCCCCCTTCCCGGCGCCAGGGAAATGAGTGCAGAGCCAGCCCCATGACCTGACTGCCCCCTTCCCCAGAGTCTCCCATTGCCTGCCCCGCACTTCCTCGTGCAAGTAGTGCTTCCCTTTCCCACAGCTCCTGCCCGCCATGCTGCTGGGCATTCCTGCCATCTAAGGCCAGACCCAGGTCTCCTGGGGCTGCAGGGGAGCAGGCTGGCTGCAGGAGGTGCCCGACTGGGGGGCAACCGGAGGCTCCTTCTGCACGAAGTTTCCCAGGTGGGGGGGGTGCTGACCCTCTGAAGACAGGCCCAATTGGAGTGCCAAACAGGAGGAAAGCCACCTCCATTTCTCTCTACCAAGTGGGACCTTCTGCCAACCTGCATAATTCGGAGCCAAGCATCTGGTTTTGGCCTGGAGGCTGAAGCAAGGCAAATGCAGACCAGAGAGCGAGGGAAGTGGTGCCATGTGATGATGGGCTGGCTGGCTGCCGCCGCCACCACAAACTCTCTGATGGTGAGAGGAAGAAACCACCGCCTGGCATCTGGAGACGGGCAGCTCTGGGGATGTTGTTGACTTAGCTGGAGCACCCCCCAATGCCCCTCCATGGGCTGGAGGGCTTCTTCTAGGCGGCGGTTGGGCCAGTGCTAGGCACATGAGCACCTGCAGGTCTCCCTGGGGCCTCTGGGCAAGCGGTGGACATGTGCCCACCAGGCCCAGGCTGGGGGTGGCTCCATCAGTCACATGCCAGCCGCACAGCAGCCCCTCCTAGCCACGGGGGCCACTGGGGTAGGCAGGTTGAGGCGAGATTTCCCTGGGTGGGTTTCTGCATCGTTGGCAAGCTGAGTTGGGGGTCCAGGCCCTGCCTATTTCTGCTGGCAGTTTCTTTTGAGCTTGTTGCTGGACATGATCCAGTGCAGGATAGCAGGCTGGAATTCTTCAGGGCAGGAAGCTCTGGGGCGAATTTGAACCTGTGGAATGGGTGCCTGGTTGAGCGGCTCCCACCGGGGCCTTGCCTTTGATCGCAGTTCAGGGCTTGCCCATTGAAAAGCAGAAGCTGGAGAGAATCCCTGCAGCCTCCTGGAGCCCCTTCCTGGGCTGGCTGTCCCTTTGGGCAGGCCAGGCTAAGGGGCTGACAAAGCAGAAGTCTTGCTGGGCCCCCAAGGGACACAGAGCTCCCCTTGCTGTGGGGCAGAGACAGCCTGGGTCTGTCAGGAAGTCCAAGAAAGGAAACTGAAAATTGCCCCTTTGGAGTGGCGAGAGAAGCCGGGATTTATGCTGACCCCTGGAGGGAGAGCGCCGTGGGGCTGCCTGGCCTGCAGGGACAACTGCAGAAGGCCGGATGGGAGGAAGACCCGGGGTGGGAGGCTGAGGGGGCAGGAATTCCCAAAAGGGAGATTTATGGAAACATGGACACTCGAAAGCCCTCCCAAATTGAGGAAACAGACTTTTGCAGGGACCAGGCACTGAAGTCTCATGGCAGGTTTATCCTGCTCGGTTAAGCCGTGCGAGGTGCTGCCTGAGACTGGCATGCAGATTTGCAGTTAACAGATGGTGGCACGTGAGCTGCTTATGCCCGGTGCCTTTTTTTTCTGGCAGAATCTGTGCCTGGCCCTGGGAAGTTGCAGCCAGAGGTCTGGCAGCCATTTGTCAGACCTCCTAAATGCCAGGGACCTCCCTGCCCTCCTGGCCAACTGAGTCACTGCAGAACTGAGAGAGTGGCACAGCACCCAGGGCTGAAGGCCGACTGGCAGCTTCCTGCCCAGGGGGAGCCAACCTCAACCTCTTTGGGCGGCTCCTGGGTGCCACGTCCTTCCCAGCCCCAAATAGCAGAGAGTCGGATGGGGTCCAGGTTCCGCCCTCCCCACCCAGGTGGGTCCCCAGGGACATTTGCCCGGCCTCTGCAAATGTGGGGGACGATGGTCCTGCCACTGGGCAGCACTGAAACCTCAGCACCCTGCTGGATGGCCTGTGGGCAAAGTAAACTCAGGCACCAACATGCTCGGCCATCTGACTTCCCTCCTGTTGAGCTCTTAGGCACCACCTGGGAGATGCCACAGCAAGCCACCCAAAGCCCCCCTCCCACCCACCCGCCCCCAACTCAGGCACGTTCAACCCCACTTCTGAGTTTGGCAGCTCTTGGAGGTGGCTGCTGGTGGAAGCATCTCCGTGCAGGCGGGGAGGGGGGGAGGAGAACGGGGGGGGCAGGCTGAACAGAAGCAGTCCTGCTCTGCGCCACGTCACCAGCAGTGCTGCCGTGGCTGCTTGGGGCCAGGGAGCCGTTGGCTGGGCCTCCGCCAGGTGATCCACCTGGGGAAAGCAGCCAAGGCGGGGCAGCCCCAGGCCGCCGCCTCTTGGGAGGGGCTTCCCTCCATCACCGGCTGCTCTGCCTTGGCCGGCAGCCAGCCGAAGCGCTCTTGGCGAGGGCCTGGGTTAGCCGCCTCTGCGCTTGGCGTATCCTCTGTTGACCTGGGTTGCTGTGGAGACACGCGAACTGCGTCTCAACGGCAGCCGGCTGATGTCATCCTGGCCTGCAGGGGCCCAGCTTGCTCGCCATGGGGCCCCCAAGCAGAGTCCTCACCAAGGGAGGGTAGCCCTTGTGAGGAGTCCACGCAGGGCTCCTAGCACACAACCCTGCTGCTCCTGGAGCCAATGGGTGCCCTGCCCTTGCGTGGCTCCTCTCCCAACTGGGCCCCGCCAGAGGTGAGGCTGTGCCACCACCTGTGGCAGCTGCGGCTTTGATCACCGCCTTGGAAGGCATTTGTGGCCCAACCTGTGTGCTGGGAAGGTGGTGGGAGGGATTCAGGCAGGGGTCAGAGAGAACCTTGGTCAGGCTCCAGCTGCTGAGAAGCTCCCGTAAATGCCGCAGCAGGCCGTCTCCTTCAGCAACCCAGCAATCTCTTCTCGGGGCCCGCCCTGCAGTGCAAGCCTTCGATGGCAGCAGGGGTGGGCAGGGGGCCTCTCAGGGCTCCATCCTGGCCTAAGAGCTTTTGGCTTGGAGAAGGGGATCAGAGGGGAACTCTTTACATGGTCAGACAATACAAAGCTGGAGGAGATCGCCAAGGCCTCAGAAGATCAGCTCAAGATCCAAAAAGCCCTCGATAGGCTTGAACCTTGCAGTTCAATGGTGACAAAGGCAAGAGTCTGCCCTTAGGTAGGAGAAATCAGATGGACAGGAACAAGGTCGGAGGCCCTCAGCGGTAGTACTTGAGATGGGTCGCAACCTCTTGGTAGGCCTCCGACTGGTGGTTTGAGCCAGCCGTGTGCTGCAGCTGCCAAAGGAGCCAATGCAATCCTGGGCTGCATCAAGGAGAGACAAAGGATGGCTTCACAGGAACAGCTGTGGGCTCAGATCACTCCAGAATTACTCTGTTCAGATCGAGCCCCCACAGTGGAAGGAGGCTGAGGAACTGGGAATGGGGCAGAGCAGAGCAACTAGGATCACAGCTAAATTCTGCAAAGACCTGGCCGTCTTTAACCTCCAGAAGAGGGACCTCCCAGCAGTCTTCCCAGCCTTGAAGGACTGCCCAGGGAAGGCAGTGGGCCTCCAGTTTTTCTCCAGAACCTCCGAGGGTAGGACAAGAGCCACCCTGGCAGAGAGGGGTCCCAGCTCAAAAGCTGGGAGAATTTCCTGACTCCCGGGGGCCACAAAGCAGAGGAAGAGCTGCCTCCTGGAGTCAGGGGCTCTTATCTCTAGAGGTTTCCAAGCAAAGACTGTGCGGCCCTTTGTCCGGGATGTCTTGAGGATTCCTACTCTGGGTGGAGGGTTGGACTAGAGAACCTCTCAGGTCCTTCACACCCTTGGGATTGTATGATAATTCCATGTTTCTGTCCAGACCGATCCTGAACCATCTCAATGACATGCCTAGCAGCTTCAATCCCATAAGGCACTGAGATTGGCTTAGCCTCCTGTGTATAGCTACTCCCAGGAGTTAGCTTAGTGTATTGTGCGAACCACAAAATAGGTGGATTCTGGGTCCAGGTTAGGCATGTTTTGCACAGCCTGGAGCACCTTCCTTTGTCCGTGTGCACGCACACCTCACAGGGTGGGGGGCCTGTACCCCACAAGGGAGGCGCTAGCAGCCGGGGGTTCTCCTTTCCCCCAGGTGCACATCTGTCCTGAAGTGGCCTCTTGCAGCAACGTGAAGAGTGGGGCTGGCTCCCCCCCCCGCCAGCCACGCAGGGAGGTTACAGGAGGACGAGGGTGGGTGCGGCTGCCTTGGATTGCTGCCCGCCCCCCGGCCCTCCTGCCTGCCTTCCCTTGCAAGGGAGAGAGCCCCCTCCTCCTAGGGGTGCAGAGGCGCCTCTCCGGCTGAGCCCCCTGCTCTTTGCCAAGTCAGCACGGAGGAGGAGGGGGCCAGATTGATGGGCTGGGGGCTGGGAGGCCCCCAGCCCCACTTTCTGCAGGCCCTCTGCCAAGGCACATGGCCCGGAAGCCCAAAGGGGGGCACAAAAGGCGAAGCTCCAGCCGGCAAGCGAGGGGCTCTGTGCTCGCGTGTCGTTCACCTGGGGCTGGAAGACTTAATTAAAGGAAAGAGGATCATAGTTCACAAGGAGTCCTCAAAAGATCTGTCACGTTTTAAACTTGATCTTTTTTAAAAAAAAAATTCCCCAAATGTTCTGGTTTTCCAGCTAAAAGAACACCTTCTATGAACTCAGGTAATAAAAAGAAAGCCACCCAGGCGAAGGGGAAGCAGGAAGGCCTCCAATCTCAGCTCTGACTGGGTTGGGCAGCTTGTGTCCGCTGAAGAGGAAGGCTGAAGCAGGCAGACTCAGCAGAGGTCAAGCAGGCCTGTGGGGCAGGGACAAGCCAGGACCCCCAAGCCCCAAACTCCTTTTGAAGCAGTTGGGAGGGGACACGGGGCTGAGGCCGAAACTGGTCCTGGCCGAGGCTGACCTGGGGAGGCTTCCTTCACCCCTGTGACCATCCTAGTTAATAATTTGGTGATTGCTGCTTCTCAGGGAGCAGCTTCCATGCTTTCTCCACTTGTTTCCTACTGACCCGTCCAGCGTTGCACTTGAAGGAGTCCAAGGACACTCGAGGCTTCCTGACCTCAGCTTCACATCTTCACAACGTTCACTTGTCCTCACAAGAAGCCCACTGGGTCAATGGGGAAGGGGGCCAGGGGTTGTGGGGAGTTGTGGAGCACCAGAAATTGTTCTCCTGGGGAAGTTGAAGTTCAGGGTGAAAGCCGATTCGGTCCAATGGGCTGCCTCCCTCAACCCTCCAGGGCTCAGCTCCACCTGCCTGCCCTCTGGGAAAGGGGCAAGAGAGAGACGGGCTGGGCTCAGCCCTCTTTTGTGCAGATGCAAAGAGAGAGTTATTTGGCAATAGAGGTGGCTTATACATTGGATGGATAGATGGATGGGAGTGGGGGTGGGTGGGTGGGGGTGGATAGATGGATGGATCAGTCAATCAATCATTGAATCAATCAATCAATGGATGGATGGATAGATGGGTGGTAGAGAAAAGGCCATTTATTATCTCCTCGTCTTTTTCTGTGGAATTTCTGTTTGCTATTGCATGGTTAATACTGGGAAGTATTGCAAAAACGGCGTAAGCAGGAGGCTCATTAGAAGCAGGCCATGTAGATAGAAATGTCAGTCCTCCTGGGAGCCTGTGGAGAAGGACAGCTTGGAAGAAGACCCAACAAGGGAGTATTGACTGCCAGGACAGATGGATCTCATGGCAATGGTGTCCAGTGGAAAAGCCCAGGAGTAGGTGCCAAAACTCTTGGCCAGACTGGGTGGACTAGCCAAGCCCAGTGGGAAGCATAGGAATGGAGAAGAGCCTTGGGAGCCACCCTTGATCAAGCTGCAATTGACGCCTGCCTGGCCAATGGGGTAGTGGCTGGGAGGAGGGTCCAGGTGCCTGGCCTGTGAAGCATGTTGAGTTTGGAAGATAAACGTTGCAAAGCTCCATCTGCTTCTTGGAGTGAAATGAGGTGGCCAGTAGCACCAAGACTCTCATTGCAATGCAGGGAGTAACAAACTCAATAAAATTCAGCAAAAGGCAGTTTGACCTTGGAAGGCAAAACCTGGCATTTGTCCTGCCCCAGCAAAGAGGCCTCTGGGAGGGGCAGGGAGGGAGGGAGGGAGGGAAGGGCTCTGCTTCTCAGCATCAGCAGTGCTCTTGCAGCCAGGGGAGGGTCTGAAGATGATGACCCCCACCCAAGAAGGAAGGCCCACTTAAGCATTGAACCATCTGGTTCTTACAAAATATGGAGAAGGCTTTCTCTCCATTCTTCTCCCTCCCTCCTAGACACAGGCACTGGTTGGGAATGATGGGAGTTGAAGTTGTACCCATCAGTAATCCCACCAGTTTTTGGAAGGCTGAAAAAGCCCACCAGGGATCAATTTGGCACCTCCCCCCAGGAAGTCCTTTGGTTTCCCAGCACAGCTGCCCAAGCCCCCTGGAAACAGCCCCCTCTCAACTTTTGGGAGCATCTCCCTGCCCAGCCAAAGAAGGGAAGCAACAGAAATTTAGAAGGTTTGTTTATAAAACATAAATAGTCTTCCAGGTATATAAAGAAAACCACCAGCGTGGAAAATAAACCAACGGAAATAAATAAAAAGGCCACTTGTTTTTTACAGGAGAAAAGAAGGGCTTCGTTGGGTGGGTCCCCCACCCATCCCCAAGGCCCACTCCCCCGCGCCGAATAATTCCCCTCTTCCCCTGCTGGAAGCGCGGGCCTAAGAACCGCAGCGGGCCTGACTTTGGCTGTTCGCACGGGCAGCATCGCCCAGAACTAAGCGCCTGTGGCGGTCTACTTAGGGGGGGGGGGGGCGGCCGCAAGCCCGGCCGCGGGAAAAGCTCTTTGTGCGCCGTCCCAGTGAAGGCCAACCCCCAGTAATTTTATTTTGTGAACCAGACTTTTCAAAGGTGCGGAGTGGCTGCCAGGGAAAGCCTTTCACTCCCCCCCGCCCCGCCCCGCTGAAAATCCGCCCTGTTGAGAGGCACACAGGGCGAAGGCGCCCCGGATGGCTGCAAAAACTCCCGGGCCCGTCGCCAGGGAGTCTCCTCCTTGCTTGCCGTGACTGAAGGCGCATCCCCGTGACTTCTGGATTCTGGATCGAGTCTTCTGGATTCGGCTTTCCACGACCGGCCTGCAACGTTTTGCTAACCCAGCGCCTTTTCCTGCCGGTCTCTCCAGCACGGCCAGCACGGCTTGGCTCCCCCCGGCTGCCGCAAGTGGCCTGAGAAAGAGGGGCTGAGCTACCGCCTCCCCTGGCGCCCCTGGCCATCTTCTCAAGTCCTCGGTCCTGGCCGCATCCCAAAGGGAGCTGCGATGCCAGTCTGGGGACAAAGGAGGAGCCGGCAGGGGAAATCCTCTCGTTGCGGGTGTTGACTCAAACGGCGAGCGAGCCAAGAGCCAAAGGCCCACGCAGGTCTGTCTTTGAGGGAGGAGGGGAGGCGTCCCTTTGATCTCGGGGACCAGGAATGCAGCCACCACACTGAGGCGGGGAAGGGAAACGCAGCTCCAGCCCGGAAGCTTTGTTTGGAAAGATACCCAATCCAAGGAGGTAAACCCCACCCGCTCCGCCCCCTGGAATCTCAGGGAGCCCTGCCCTGCCCCACCCACCACCCACCCCGCTCAGGCGTGGCTGAGGGCTGCCTCGGCAAAGCCCAGATGTTCTGAGCTCTGCGTTCGCTCCGGAGCCCGGCCAGGCCCACAAAGCCGGGTTCTGCCCAGAGGTTCTGTCCCGCCAGCCTCCGTCCAGGTGTTTCTCCTCCCATAATCCTCAGCTGCCTGCTTGCCTGGGATGAGATCCAGGGTGGCCCTCTGGGCAACAAGCCTTGCACGCGGAAACCCCTCCTCCCCAGACATTCCACCCTTGGAAGCAGGAGGTCCTTGCTACACGTTTCATCACAAACTCGCCCACCACCATCCCCCCACCACCAATATTCAGTAATTCTCTGCCCCACAAAGCGACACCCCACAACCGAGAAAATCCACCCTGGGATTTGGCCACCAGGCAAACAGCAACGGGGCAGGAAGGACCTGCCAACCAGGCTTGGGTGCCTAATGCAAGTCAAGGCCCCCAGTTTTGCTGCAGGGGTGTCGCCTGCTGGACTGCCCCTCTCGTCAAGGCAGCCCCCCTAACAGTTGTGCACGTGGTCGAGATGCTTGGTGATGCTCTGCAGGCACTTCTGGAGGCGGTCCAGGGTCACCACCGCCGCGGTGTAGGGAGAGACGGCCAGGCGCTCGGTCAGGTTCTGCAGGGCGTCCGAGCGGGCGGGCCTGTGGGGAGGGCAGCCCAGGTGAGAGCCCAGCAGCTGCAAGAGGCTCTGGAGGTTCTCCACGTCGTGGGAGATCTGGACGACGGGGGCCTCCAGGGGCAGGTTGGAGAGGACTTGGTGGAAGAGCTCCAGAGCCTCGTCCATGGCCTCCAGGCTCTGCACCGGTAGCTCCCCGGGGATGAAGTCCAGACCGTTGATCTTCAGGCTCAGCGGAGGGAACTACCGAGAGACAGGGAAGCTGCCGGTGAGTCAAAGCAGAGTCTGTGCACACACCGCCCAACAGAGTTGGAAAGAGCCAACCAGGCTCAGGGCAGGAGCGCAAACGAAGCACCCCCCGGAAATGGCTGTCTAGCTTCTGCTTTAACTCAGACCCCACCCCACCTCCACTGGGCCCCCCGGCAGGCTTCTCCCGTTAAGAAGCGTCTTCTGGCTCTTCCGTCTGAATGGAGCTGCCTGCAGTTGGCATCCCCCCTTCGGGCTGGCGCTGGGCAAGAGGTCGTGACACACACACCTCTTCACCTTCCCTCTCCAAGGCCGGCTGGGGCTGCTTCTTTGGGAACACAGCCTTAACTCCGGCCCCCTCCACGAGGCCCTTTAGCCCCGCGGGGGTGTGGCGGGGGGGGGGCTGGCTGCACCGTCAGCCTACTCGAGCGCTCTCCTCCCCGTGGCTTGGACGGGGCGGGGCGCGCTACCTCAGGGCTCCTCCTCCCGCTGTATCCTCAGAGCAATGATGAGGCAATTGAAAATTCCCAGCGCTGACCTAATTTAGGTGACTGCCTCCCTTCCACACCCCGTCCCCTCCCGTGTGGGTGTGGAAAGACGAGTTCTGGTATAACGGTTTCTTGTGCAGCCGCCACGTCTTGTGGCGAAGATGCTCAACCGGCCCAGGACACCGGCTGGGCTTGGCCCGGATGAGCTGATTTGCTCCGCGGTGTGAAAGCAACGCGGGTCTGCCTGCAATTGGGTGGCCTTGGGGTGCTCGGGCCTCGCCCAGCCTACTTCCACAAGGAAGGCGGGCAGCCAGAGAGCGCGGGCAGGAGAAGCTGCTGTGTCTCTGCGTGTGTAAAGCGTGCCAAGGCTCCGTGGCCTTCCCAGCCGTCCCAGGAACTCCAGAGCGGGCTCAGAAGCAAGTCGAGCAGTGGGGCTGCAGTTGGGTCAGCATGGGACGCCGAAGGGAGGGCGGTCTCTGGGCAGGCAGGGGATGCAAGGCAAGCCCAACCTGGCAAGAGGGGAGCCCCCCGACGGCTGACAAGGAGCCCCTCTTACCTGGTGCTCCTGGATCCTGGCAACGATCGTCCTGGTGAGGCTTTTAGTGTCGGCAATCACCTTGTCGATTTTCACAGACCGGCTGTAGAAGAGGGGCAGCCAGACCCACAGAAACCCATACACAGAAATGCTGGGGGAGCGCATCTTCCCCTTGAGCCCTGCACCGGGGAAAATGGGGGCCAATTATGAGGGGGGGGCTGCTAGAGGGAGGAGGGTGAGGGGATGAGAGAGGAAGAAGGGGGGCAGATGGCAACCCTGCCCTATCCGAGGGCGTTTAGGGCAGCAAAGAACGGGGTGGGGGAGCCGCGTGGCTGAATTATTTGCCAAAGACGAGTCACACTAAAAACAAGTAAAAAGGTGCATTTGTCTTGAGGGGTGGGGTGGGGGAGATTTCTACTGTCCGACAGGACTGTAATGCTCAGGTGAGCCCCTGAAGTTTTCTTTCCTGTCGGGCTGCAAACTCCCCCGCCCCCCCCTTCAAACCGCTCTTCTCTAGAATCCGCCCAGCCCCAGATTTCATTCCTCCACCCAAAGCCCCATCGAGTCCGGGGCTGCCCTGGCACGGGGCGTGCAGAGAACAGCCTGGCATCGCTTTCCTGCAGAAACGGGCGTTTCTCCGCTTCCCAGGAGCGGCAGAGGCGGAGGGCGGCTTGTGGCAAAGCCGCTGCGTGGGAGATCAGGGCTATGCCCAGCAGGGGCCACACCAACGGCTGCCCTGCCTTGCCCTCACCTCCTGCGCCGGGCTGAGGGCCGCGATGCATCTGGGCCCCTCCCAGACAGCCAGGCTCTTGGGAGCCCAATCAGGGCAGGCCTGCCCTGCCAGTCCCGGTGCCCTCTGAAGTGGTGCGCGCTTAATGAGCCCCGCCGCCGACGGTTGGGACAAGTTCCGTCACCTCGCCGGCAACGGCAAGCAGAGGCAGCGCCTCCCGGGGCCCGTGGCCATCCAGCTGCTCTCGACTCATCCCCGTTACATAACCGGGGAGCAGCAGGGAGACTCCAGGCAGCCGCAGCGCCCAGCCCAGGCAGGCAGGAAGGGAAAAGCGGCCGGAGACCCCCGCCAGGCCAGCGGGACAGAAGGACCAGCTCCTGCTGGCCAACCGTGGGGGCGGGAGGCTTCCTGGGGAATTGGGTTGGAGATCCGCCTGGTGGCTGAGCAAGAGCCTGCCCAGGCCCCCGGCGGGGGCAGGCTGGTCGCCCTTTAAGCAGACTGGGGAAGCCCAAGCTGTGGTGCGGCCCAAGCCTACTGCCCAGCTGGCTGACCCCTAGAAAAATGAAAGCCCCCAAACCCCTCAGTAGGCTCACCCGAGCTGGCCTTTGGGACATTGAGCCCCCTCCCCCCGTCACAATACGGGGGCGGGGCGGGGCGGGGGAAGTATGCTTGCAGCAGGTCCAGGAAAAGCACAATGGGCAGGTAGACAGCCCCTCTGAGAATTCCTCCTGGACCCTCCCTCTGCCCATCCCGAGAGCAGCAAAGCTGCCAGCTTTGACCACTCACGACCACCTGGGCACTTCAGCCCTATCCAGCCCTAAGGAAGGAAGGGTGGGTTGAGGGAAATGCTGCTCGGTCGCAGATGGGGGGAGGGATTGTCCATGCACCCGGCTTCGTGATGGGACCCGCGTTGAGACTGGGGGCTTCACAAGTCCTGGCACTGCTCCAGCTTTGCGACCCGGGCAGGGCCGATGCCGGGCTTCTCCGGACACTCTCTCACCCAAGAAGGGGCTGCTTGTCTGGAGCAGATGCAGGCGCCAGCCCTCCCGCTGAGAAGCGCCCCCCCCCCCCCGCCCCGAGTGATGAAATCTTGGCGTCCCGGTTTTGCTGCGGCTGCCTCTCTGGCTCCAGCGCGCGCGCCAAGCTTGGCCCCTGGCCTTGTCCCCCGCGGACGAGAGCTGGGCCGTCGGGCTGGCGGGATGCTTGGGAAAGGCATCCTGGCCTGGCGGTGTCCTCACGACACGCTTCCCCGAATCAGGGAATGACCCCGCGGTGGCATTCTCACAGTGAGCGGAACTCGGCTAGTTTTAGGATGGTTTGCCTTTGCGGCTTAGTGCGTTGTGCGAACCCAGCCCCAGGCCCTATTCTGTATTTCCAGGGATTGGGCGAACCCCGAAATTGGTTTCAGACTGCCCTGGACTATGAGTCTCCCCTTGGCAAGGCCAGGTTCCGTAACCATGAGGCACCTGGAAGCACGGCGGGAAGAGCTGGAACAAGGTGAGCACATGCTCAGAGGCACTCTTCCCGGCAGCCAAACGACCGCAAAAAATCCAGCCCACGACCCGCTCCCCTCTTTCCCCGCTCCCGCCGCGAGGAACCTCACTGCCCAGCGCATCACTTGCTCTGCACAGCTCACCTCCGCCCGCGGTGCTGCTTCGCGTTTCCGTCCCGGCCTCTGAGGCTCCATCGCAGCCGCGACCCTTTTATAAGTGCGGCGTTGCACAACGCGCAGCCGGCCGCGACTCGGCTTTGCCCGGCCCTGCCCGTCCCGTCCCTGCCCTGCCCTGCCCGGCTCCTCCCTCCTCCCTCCCTTTTCCCCTCCCTCGCTCCCTCCCCCATGCTCCAGGGCCCCGCCACCCCGGCAGGAGGGACCCACCCCGGAGACTCACTCGGCTTAAAGGCTGGGGGGGCGGCTTTTAGGGACATCTCTGTCCCCTCCCTAAGCACAAAGCGGGGGGCGATTTCTGGCCTGGCTGATTGGGAAACGACCGGGAGATGGGCGCGAGTGGAGGGGAAACATTTCGCATTGCCCCGCGCGCCTTCGACTTTTGGCTAGAATGGATTTGGCCCGGCGACGTCCTCCGTGCGCCCTCCGGTCGCCCTCTGTTCGCCATCCCCACTCCGCAGACTAAGCCAAGAGCAGTGTTACGGGCAGATCCTGGGTTAAAAAGCCGGTTTACCCGGACCGCTAGACTCCGCTGGCATCTGGGGGCTCAGCGCCAGGGACAGCCCTACCAAGGGGCACCGGAGCTGACCTCCTTCCGGAGGCGCTAAGCAGCCCCTGGGGCTGGCGCTGGCTGCCGAAACCCAGCGAGCGTCTCTGCTGGAGTTGGTCTCCCGGTTCTGCTTGTGACCGAGCAAGGGGACAGTTCAGGAAAAACAAGGAGGCGGCCCAGGTTCTCCAGGCCCTCCCCGTCCAGTCTCCCACTAAGCGGCCTCTGCGCTTGGACCGGCTGTAGAAGGGCCCCCTTTGAGTGGGGAGAGGCGTCGGAAGCGGCGGTGCATTCGTGGGGAGGAAGGGCCGCGCCGTCGGGGCTCCCTAAGAGACTCAACCCTGGGAAGTCAGCCGGCCCAGGCGCTCAGGCGGCGGTCGGACGGGTCGTCCCGCGAAGAAGACCCCAGCGAGCGAAAGGGAGAGGCCACTTCCCCGCCGGTGTTTTTCCTCCCACTTCCGAAGGAGCTTGAGAAGACCCTGAGCAGAGGGAAGACTTCTCGGCCAAACTGGCTCCCCCCTGCCAGGACCCACCTCGGGTGCTTAGGAGCCCGGCCGCCCAAAGGGAGAGCGCGATTCTTTGGAGAGGGGCGCGCAGCTGGACGAGGCCAGGCGATTCGCTTTAGAACTGGCCGACTCTTGCAAGGTCCCCCCAGACGAACGGGAGCTATGCAGTCCCTTCCCCGGGGCTTCCCGGGAAAGCTGTCCTAAGTCCGGGTGGGATCCGTAGAGCAGGGGTGAGTCGCCCAGGAGGGTCGCCCAAGGACCGCTCGGCACAAAGGGAGGGAGGGGCTCTTCCGGTTCTGGGTCCATCTTTCCCCGGGGGGCGTCGGGGGTGGAGCGTCTCCTCTCCCCATTTACCCTGTGCGCCCTTCGGCAGCCCCATCCCTTTTCTGTCCCGCGCCCCCCAGTCCCTCCCTTGCCCGGGAAGGCGGGGGAACTCGACTCCCCCTCTTTAGCAGATGAGACCTAAGGCGGCGAGACCTCAGATAACCGCACCGCAGAGCTTTCAGACCCGACTAACACCTCTGGCTCGAAAGATCGACGCGGGAATTCCCCTCCCTACCGCCCCCCCCACCTTTCCCTCGCTCGGCTCTAAAGAGGGAGCCAGTTCTTCGCCGACCTTTATCGGGGAAGGAGGAAAGGCTGGGCGGGTGGAGAAGGGGATACTAGCGGCGGGGGAGGCGGATAAAAGCTTATTTTAACGAAACCCCGTCCTCCTCGACTTTTAAACCATCCCGGGCGGGCTGCGTGGGGAGCGCCGGTTTCCCTTCAGAGAAAGTGATCTTCCCTTCAGATGAAGAGGGATCCAGGGGAAGCTGGTGTCGAGGGCTGAGAGGTCCTAAGGTGCCCTTTCCGCTTATCGGGGTGTTCTGCTTATTTCTCACACCTGGGGGTGGGGCGGGAGGGCGCAGCGGCCAGTTTCTGCCCAAACGGCGATTGTCCCGGGACAGTCTCCGCACATTCGAGCGACCTTCCAAGAGTTGCATATTAACGTACCCGACCGATACTCAGGAAGCCGCTCAGCGCGGTTCAAAGGTGATTAGGGACTGGAGGGTAAAACATAGGAACAAGGGTTGAGGGAACTGAGTATGTCTAATTTAATGAGGAGAAGGATTAGGGGGGACAGGATAGGAGTCTTTCAATACTTGAGGGGCTGCCCCAAAGAAGGTGGGGGTCAAGCAATTCTCCAGAGCACCTGAAGGCAGGTCAAGAAAGGCAGGTCAAGAAAGGTTACCACCTTTAAAGCGCTCCATGGCATTGGACCTGGATACCTTCGAGACCGTCTTCTGGGCCAGTTCGCTCCCACAGAGAGGGTCTCCTCAGGGTGCCATCGGCCAAATTATGTCGGCTGGCGACACCCAGGGGGAGGGCCTTTTCTGTGGGAACCCCCTGCCCTTTGGAATGATCTGTCCCCAGAAATTCGTAAAATCTCTGATCTCCGTGTGTTTCGCTGTGCCCTCAAAACCATGTTGTTCTGCCAGGCTGGGCTATCAATGTAAAGATTTTAATTGGTTTTAAATGGGATTTTAAATTTGGGGTTTTATAAATTGGGCCTATTATTTAATAATTTTAATAATTTTTAAATTTTGTCTGTCTTTGTGTTTTTAATTAGGCTGTACACCACCCTGAGTCCTTCGGGAGAAGGGCGGTATAGAAATAAAATTAATAAATTAATAATAAATAAATAAGAGAAGCCACAGATGGAAACGAACAAAGGAGAGAAGCAACCAGGAACTAAGGAGAAACTTCCTAACAGTAAGAACAATTAATCAGTGGAACAGAAGTTGCCTCCAGAAGTTGTGAATGCTCCAACACTGGAGGTTCTGAAGAAGAGGTTGAGAAAGAGCCATTTGTCCAGAATGATATAGGTATAGATATAGATATAGTCTCCTGCTTGAGCAGGGGGTGGACTGGGTCCCTTCCGACTCGGTCATTCTGTTCAATGCAGGCATTGAGTCTCGCTCCCAGGCGCTGATGGCGCAAAAGGGATGTAAACAATTACAGCTACCCACAAATACATGAGGAAAGGAAGGGCTGGAGGAGGCATGAGCCAGCCGTGTGCTGCAGCTGCTGGAACAGCTAATGTGATCTTGGGCTGCACCAACAGAGGCAAAACGTTGAGATCCCAGGAAGGGATCCGTGCTCCACGCTGCCCTGGTCAGATTAGCCCTGGAATACTGTGACCGGTTCTGGTCCCCACAATAAAAGGAGGGCCCTGAGGACCTGGAAAGAGGGCAGAGAAGATGGGGAGGGTCTTGGGAGCTAACCGGGTATCTTTAGCCTCCAGAAGAGGAAGGCCTCCCAGCAGTCTTCCCAGCCTTGAAGGGCTGCCCCAGGGAAGGCGGTGGGGCTGTTGTTTTCTTCTACTTTTATTT